TGAGTTTGAAATCGCAAATCCACCTTGAGCAAGCGTAATGTTTAATGGTCAAACCTTCTCCATGTGAGAAGAGGCCTTTGCTCAGCAGTGGGCACTTATATGCTGACGATGTGATGGCAATTAAGCCTTCAAATAAATTCTAATGATGATTGATTGACTAGACAGTGACTGTAATCGGCCTCGATAGTTTCGTAAGATGTGGTTAATTTAATTATGAGGTGAGGTGTGCACACCACCCACTGTAAGCAGTTTACAAATAGCATCTAGACCTCAAGACTCATTGAGACATATATGTAGATTGTAATTTGTATTGATTATTAGAAATAATTCTTCATTTTATGAAACGAACAATTTTTTTTATAGGTCGGCAAACTATCAAATGATTATTACCTGATGCAATCTGCGCCGCCCATGAAAAATCGCAACGACGGAGAAATCACGAGTGCGTTGCCGACCTTTAGGGATTAGGGATTTGGAGATTTTGGGAATTAGGAGAGATTGGGGGAGGAGAAGGATTGGGCCTCCGGTAACCTCACTCACACGATGAAACACAACACTGTAGTTGTTTTACGCCGGTTTTCTGTGAGGCCGTGGTATCACTCCGGTCGAGTCGACCCATTCGCGCCGAAGCATTTAACATGTCTCTAGACACTTAACATTCTTCATTTAAAACAACTAAGGACATAAATAAACGTGTATCACCCATCAGATAAAAAAAAAACAAAGGAATTCAATAAATTTCGAGATTTATAAGAAAATGAACCAAAATAACCCAGATGTCGACGAAGTTGTGTTCAAATTGGGTGGCTAAATTTAGCAGCACGAAGTTGTTGATAATGCACCAATTAGGATGAAAATAGGAGCAGTCAACTGGTAACAGGTTATTTCCCACCAGTCAGCAATCAGTCTTTATTACTGAACTCAGAAAATAAGTCTGAAGTGTTGACGGGTGACCGCATAGATACTTCCAGGTACGATTTATGGCTAAGAACATTAGACTACGATGATGAGTAATTCAAAAATAAATTAATTCGACATTTCAATACAGTAAAATATTGAAAAATAACTACGTATTTATTCATCGATCTGTCGATACACTAATTTTTTTAAAAAATAAGTAAGCTATTTGACGCAAAAATATTATGACGTCATAATTTAGAATGTCATAGAAAAGTATCTTTTTTGACATTTAGATAAAAGTATTAAATTTGACTAGTTGGAAACTACCTTATTATCGTAAGGAAGCTTCTCCTAGAAAATTACTACAATATACAAGTATCTATTTTATATATTAATTTAAGACACAAAATATGCAATTCCAATTCTAAAAAACATTATATTCGTACCACTAATCCTGCGGAATAGCCGAAAAACGACGAATAATGAAAAGATTTCATTAAAATCATCAAGATTTCATTAAAAGATGAAGAGACTTTCTTCACCAAAATTGCCTACGACAATTCTCAACTTAAATTCTTAGTAAAAACTCAATTAATCGTATTGCACAATATTGATCTCCGCAATATTCGTGAGGCATATTAAATTAATTATTATGTTTAACGGCTAATTAACCCACGTAAATGCTGTTCATGAATATGAGTCCCTAGCGTGGCTTGAAACTAGTCGAGCTGCTGGCCTCCACAATATCCTTTTCCTTAACGATAAACGAATTCCAACAAATTTGACTCACAATTGCATTACGACATACACAATATAGTTTGGATGACAAAACCGTAAACATTCTGATGTGCCCAACTATTGTATAAAACCAGTATTATACGTACTCCTTATACGGTCCACCATATGTTCCTTAACCTTATTAAGTGAAGTATTTTCGGAAGAGTCAGTTATCGAAGAATGTATTTATACATAGATGTTTCTGGGTCAATCATTCGAAAATTAAATACAAAATTAAACTAGAGATTCCGAAAATAAAAGAATTAATTAATCCTAGTGTTGGTAGGTTTTCTATACTAATATTATAAAGAGGCAAAATTTGTAAGTTTGTATGTAGGGAGTAATCTTTGGAGCCCTTCCCGCTGGTCGGATTACCAAAATTCTTTCACTGATAGACAGCCACAATGTTCCTGACTGCAATAGGCTATTAAACATCACGCTACTATCAAATCAAATCAAAACCGAGCAGCGGGTGAAACCACGTGAGAGTAGCTAGTATTATATAGGAAAGATGGCTATCTTTTTTTGTTTTTGTATTTCTCCAACAGCAGCATAATATTCTCCCATGTTAATATCATTTAATACCGAGGTCACTCGACGACACTGCCCCAACTAAGCGAGACAAATAGATTATGAGATGGTTTGTTTACCTCGCCGGGTAAATTCGGTAGCTTTGTCTCTCATAATAACGTGTAGTTACCACAGCTTTAGGGCTTGGGTCCGGTTTTAGTACCTAATCATACCGATGGAAGGTAGGGTTGACACTCTATGAACAAGGTTTATTCTAAAATGCTTTATATAATACTAGCTACTCTCGCGTGGGTTCACCCGCTGCTCGGCTCCATTTGATCGTAGCGTGATGTTTTATAGCCTATAGCATTCAGGAACATTGTAGCTATCTATCAGTGAAAGAATTTTGGCAATCCAACCAGCGGTTCCAAAGATTACCCCCTACATACAAACTTTCTAATTTACTACTTACTTTATAATATTAGTATAGATAGTTGTGAAGTGTCTTTGTCTGAATTACAACTAGGCTGACTGATTTTTTCAGCAGGGGTGGCCGGGTGCAAGAGCTATAATGAACCGCGCTACCCTCTAAAAAGCATAATGATTCTTCATGTGCTTCTTTTTTTTTAAACAAATCAGCCATGTTCTAGCAGTTATTACTAACAACTTCTTTTCCTAGCTCAACACTGATTGGATGAGAACTTATGTATTTCCGCAGGCTAACCATAGATAAGTTTTATCATCTTTTTTTATTTTGTTTTATGTTTTGGTCGGTCGAGCAGACGGATTACCTGCAACAGAGGAGTTACGAGTGCGTTGCCGACCTTTCGGGGATTAGTGATTTGGAGATTAAGATATTGGGGAGGGATTAGGGGAGGGGAAGGATTAGGCCTCCGGTAACCTTAATTACACAGCGAAACACAACGCTGTGGTTGTTTCACGCCGGTTTTCTGCGAGGCTAATGTATCACTCCGGTCGAGCCGACCCATTCGTGCCGAAGCATGGCTCTCCCACACTTATAGCTATAGAAATATAAAAGCTAGTTATTTTGCTAAGCTTGCCTTAACCTATCTCGATTTAAATTAAATATGGACATTTTATAAATACCGAAATCATACACTCGCGGTATCATGAAGCCTAAAAATGTATTGCAAAACACAAGTAAGTAATGTCGTTGAACTTCCTTAGAAAATTCCTTAACTTCCGCTCCATCTAATTATGCCATTCTGTGTGTGCATTCGTTCTATTTCTCTCCGAGCGCTAATGACACCGAGAATAGTGGCGCGCCTGTCCTAATGGGAATTTATGTTTACTTTGACGGATGTATTTCTGGGACACGGCGACCGAGGGTGCACCAGTGATATTACAAAGTAGGAAGAATATTTTAATTTTAATAACTAATTAACATCATTTTAAGGTTGAAAAGCTTGACTAGCCAGTAGTATTTGAAGAGTCTGAGTCTGCTGGTATTTTCAGTTTTGTAGGTGTTCGTAGATTCATTTCAGAGTATGATTAAACTTTAGCTATATTAACTTAGTATCAATATTATATTTTTTGTGACAGGTCGGTAAACGAGCAGACCGATTACCAAGGAGTTACGAGTGCGTTGCCGGCCTGTTGGGGATTAGGGTTTCGGATATTTAAGGACTGGGGGAGAGGAAGAAGGATTGGGCCTCCGGTAACCTCACTCTCACAGCACACAAGGCAGTGGTTTCACGCCGGTTTTCTCCGAAGCCTTGGTAATAACTCACTGGTCGAGCCGTTAGTGCCGCAGTATGGCTCTCTCACAAAGTATGCTTAGTGTGTAATAACGCATTTGCTTATAAGAATAGCCAAGCTTAATTTTTAAAATAATTTGGAAAGATGTAGCAGGCAGAAAGAATTATACCTAATTAAAAAAAAATACAAGGTAATTAAATAGCATTGGTAATCGTATGCAAATTAATAAAAAATAGATGTAACTGGTCTACCACCTACAGTGTCCGGGTTCGGAATAATAGACCATGAGTACCTACCTCATATAAGTAAGTAAGTACTGTGTTATTAGTCAGTAGTAGTAAGATTCCTTGAGCCAACTCCTACGCATAGTGATAACGTATGGTCTGGTATGGTCTCACATTGTTTATTTTTATATTTTCTATCTTCACGACCTTTAGCTTTTCAGATCAGAACAAGAAGAAAATAATATGTATACGCTAGGTATCATATAATTCTAAATATAATATGATTATTTAATCTACTTTGATACGTTGAATGAAGTTGCTTACGATATAATAGGAACAGATAAATGTGCGTCAACTTTGTTCTTCCAAATAAACGCCATGCATCGAGGCACACGTAATTCAAAAATCGAATTTATTGACGGTTTTTATAAACTTTCATTCATAATGGCGGCAAAACATACCTTCAACTAGGTTTCGTATCACAAAAAAGTTTCGCTACTCATTATAATAAAAAAAAACTACAAAAATCGCTCTTAAATAGGACGGTTAAGTAATAAAAAGTCGCCCTATGACACCGTGACACCAATAACTTAGCAACAGAGATATCACGACGATATTATCGCTCTTTGTCAATATTTCACAAGTATGATTATAATAGTAAATGTACAACTTCCCTAAAAAAAATATTACACTAAATATATACGTATACATATTTATTACTAACAAGTAAATTTTATGGGTACGTAGAAAACCGATCAATTTTTTTTTCTAATGTGATCTATGGTCATTTATTACTACATCTCTTTTATTCGCAAATAACAAATAGGTATTTTAAATTGACTATTTAGGTAAACTAAGTTGTTGACTTACCTTCGTCCATGGTGAGTGATTGCGTGATCACCACCACAGCAAGCAGCGCCAGGAGCCGCGCGTACATGGCTGACGTAGCCATGTCTACTGAAACACCATGTTTTAAAAGGAAATAAAAAAATATCACTTAGTTGTTTACTTGAATTGCATACATAGAAGTCTATGAAAAGTAATTAAATTAATATTGACTGTTAAAAAGGTTAAATGCGCATTATTCATAAGTAAACTTAAAAATGGTATAGCTTTCTTTTTTCATAACGAGCTAACCATAGTTTTTTTTTTACTTTTATTACAACAAATTAAAACATTAATAATAAAAAATGTTATCCTTATACGTTGAACTTTATAATATTTAAATATTCATTTTTAAGTTATATTGAATATTCTTTAAAATTAATATTATTTTTGACTAATTAATTACCGCGAAGTTTTATTTACTTTATCACGACTTTCCCGCGTAAAGTTTCGATTATGCGCAAGCTCGGCTGGAGGAGTGCGCGTGCGCGAGCCGCTTACACGCTTTTCAACTGCCGCGAACTGGTCAGGCAGGCGAACGTATTCTAACTTCGTACATGAGTTATCAAGTTCTGTAATTTTATTAATATTACTCGTAATATCGACTACGTTTTTGCTTCAATGTGTTAAGTTTTCACTCTAGAGGTTTATATGCCTTTGTTATTTAATATTTATTGAAATATTAAATATAAAGTAAAAAAAAATTACCTAACGTCCCATAGTTATACAGATATTCGCATTACAAACTCAACGTTACAAAAATGTGACAATATAATCATAAAACAACAACCTATTGGAATAATTATGAATACTTTTTTTTTTTGTGTCGGGTTGGAAGATCCTCATGGAGACCCACCGCCCTCGGGGTAAGGGCGAAGGGTACTGTCAGACTGTTACTGACTAAAAACCAACCCGGTGTTCCTCCAATAACCCATGTGTCGGAGGGGCGGGTATTGCCGAAGCATTCGTCGCAACCCCCCAACGGGTATTGGCCCGCCAGATGGTAAGGCAGGCCCCAATTATGAATACTTAGATGTTTTTTCTTTAAATGGGTATTCATCATAGCTATATATTGTCATGTCCTGGGTGGGGTAAGGTGGACTGCCTAACTATTGACTAAAAATCACCCCGTTCTTTGTCGCTATACATTATTACGCTTGCAACTGCAACCATGGCCAACAGTAGAAGCGCGCGCTTTTGGGTCAGGTGAACTAGGTACCCTTGCTGTGGATGAATTTTGATTCCCGCGCCCTCACGTCCATGTGAGAGACAGACACCAAGGTAGTTTTTAGTCAGTAAAAGTCTGACAGTCTCTTTCGTCTTCCTAGGCGAAGGGGCTCCATGAGGATTTTTCACCATGGGGCAAAAAAAGGTGAAAAAAAACCATGAACATTATTTGCATTATAAGAGAATGACTCATCTATCGATCAACTGAGACAAACAAAGCAAACAAAAGGCAGTGAGCTCAAAATTAAAAACAGAGTTGGTACAATATATTTATTAAATCAGAAATTGGTTGAAAAACGTCAACTCATGCTATTTTTAATCTATGTACTAATTTTAATTTATATTTTCAACTGGCAACAAATCTGTTCATAGAGTCAGTTGTTTGTCGATGGTCAATGTTTGAGTGATTTGTCGCAATCGCAAATGTCATAGTATTTTTTGAGCTCAATAATATCAGGATGGCAGAAAACAGAGAAGAAATTCTAGCAAATTTTCAGGTAAGAGTTCATTTATGAAATAGTGCTATATTATTGTTGTTGCCACCACTCTTTAGTATTTCGCAAAGGTTATGTGTAGTATAACAACAGTGACTCTTAATTCTCGTTTATCTCTTTGTGCTGTGGTCTTATCGTTGTATTCGAAGATTTTTTCAAAATTTCTTTGTTCTTTTTGAATGACTGCATTGGTTTTTCGTCCGTGTATTACAGCTTGGACACGTGTAATACGTTACAAATTATGCTCTTATTGTTTCTTTGTGCATAGTCGTTGCTAACTTCCTTGAAGTTACTTAGCTACAAGGTAAACCTTGTGGTGTTTACTGCGTTCTCGAATTGCGTAGTACACGTAATTAAGGCTGCATTGTACTTCATTAATTTTAATAAAAATATATTTCTAGGGTATAACAGCCATAGAAGATGTTGCTGAAGCTATTTACCACCTAGAAGAAGCAAATTGGGACTTGCTTGTGAGTATTACACTTTTAAATTCTTAATTTAAACTGTAAGAAATATTTACATTACTATTAACTAGGCATATCATGTCATGAAATCACTCTATAGATCCACACAAAGGGAATTTTCTTTGCTTGTGTCATAATATCCATATAAGGGTTTGTTTATATTTATACTTATAATGGATGCCATGTTTGTCATTGATAATGAATTGCTTCCAATCAGCTGTTGTGCAGATGACCCACATAAAATAAACATAGTTTAAAAGAAATGAATATATATAAATACCATTTCAATGCATTGGTTAATAATTTTGTGAAACAAGTTTATAACTTCTTCATCTTTTCAAATTTTGCATGTCATCATGTGTTTCTTGTTTTTTGTCTAGTCAGAGATATAGACAAAAGTACAGCAATATAACATTTTTTAATTTTATTTTATTTAATACACCATTAATTTATTTATTTATTATAGTAGTTACTTTCATGTTATTTTTTGTCTATTAATTTTCTATTTTTTATAAAATGAGCTGTTCTTTTCCTTTCCTTTTTCTATGTTAATGCTATTGGTTAGAAAATCATTTTAACATAATAAAATAAAAAAATGATAAATTAGAATTTTAATTGCCTTGTTAGAAGGATATCATTGTGTATGTGTTAAATAAAACTATCTACCTTTTATGCATCATAGTTACAGTGTTAAAAAAATTGCTGTATTTCATATATTCTAATTTTACTCAAAAATATCATCGGTATAATAATTATATTTACCAAATACAGTTTATATTTATACTTATTAGATTATTGGACAAATGCATTATCTACCAGTCTACATATATAGGTGGTGGGCAAATAGAAATCTCCTCTTGTGTGATGTTTCCGCATAGTTAATGACAGCGGTTTGGTATAGCATGGTGTGTAACCATGTATTGTGGATATTGTGGTGTGGATTCAATTTAGAATTTACTTATTTTTAAATGTAATAAATACCGTAAATTATTTAGAATAACTGGTATTTTGTAAGTAATTATTAATAATTTACTGATAGCATTGTTTTCTGCATTAATCTGACCTTCACAATGGGGAAGTTTGGCCAACCGAAAAGCATTATTATCAATATTTTTTTAAAGTTTCAACTTAACTACTTTTATAAATCACTTGGCAAAACATCCTATGACAGAGTTCTTGATAATAAAAGATCTACTTTTAGTTAAAATAATAATATATCATTTTAGTTAAAATATATAATAAATAAATGGAATTACAAAATTGTTGAAATAAATCAGGATCAGCAATAACCCATTTTTCAGTGAATGCTGCATTTTAACAACATTCCCAAGCTTGTGTATAATAAAAAAAAATGTAGCAGTTATGGAGAAGGCTATTATCAAAATATATATTGTCCACAGTAATAAGTAGCCTATATAATTATCGAGACATTATTCTACCTGTGGGCAAAATTATATTCAGATACATTGACATATAAAAGTGTAATTTACATCCATACTTACTTCTAGTGATCCTGTGGTCACTCTTGTTTGTCAAGATCATTAACAAAATGCCAATTTTGGCTTAATACAAATAATGAATCAACATAATTAAGGGTTAGTCATTTACCTAAATGCGGTAAATTATTATTTAAAGAACATGTACAACAAATGCAGTCAGTTTTGCTCTATTCTCATGTAAATTCAACATGGTAAATTCAGGATCTCGGTCACCTATAGTACACACTCTTTGCTATCAATGTCATTATGTCAATGTCATTCTGAAATTAGAATTCTAACATAACAAGAAGGGCATGTAAAGTGAACCACTTTTTTACGGCTCACTCATGTATTCTACTATTAATGTAATGTTTGACAAGGAACTCGGCTACTTTCAAGCCACACTAGGGACTCATATTCATAAGCAGCATTGGGTAGTTTCCTCAGTCGAAAGTAACGAATTCAACTTTACAAAATATAAAAATACTTCAAAGCAATTACACTTTAATACATTGACTTGATTTTATGTTAGGTTTTCTTATTTTTCAAACGAATTAAGAGAAATCGGTGTGATATTTGAGGGAAAAGGGTATGACGTCACGACTTGCAAAATTGGAAATTATCCTTTTCGATATTTCCAAAATAGGTAAGTGTTAAATTTGAAACTACCCGATTGGAAGACAAAGTCAAAATCATTTATTTCAATTAGATCCATACAGACACTTTTGAACGTCAAACAAAATTTTAAAGATATAAAGTGTCAGTCTATCGGTCAGTCCTCTTACTGAAGCTATTCGCTCGTTCCAAAGTGTAGATTCCGATGGAGAATAACGAGCAAGAAACTCCATGGTTACTCTTTTTAAATCAGTGTCACATAAAGATTCTTTGATACATTATTTGAAGACACGGTAAACGTCGCGCAGCTTCTTCGTAAAACAGTGAAAACGTGAAAATCAAAATACATGGATGAGCCGTTAACCATAATAATTTATTGAATAGGTCTCACCATAGTTATAACCCTAAAACACTTTTTACCAATTTTTAATGAATTCCATATTAATTTAATAAATACATTTCCATTCACTAAGCACTATTCGACTACTTAGCATTCTATTATTCTTTATGTAATCAGGATAAAACATTTCTTTTGAGAGGTTTAATTTACCTACACAATATACAATAAAAGTAAAGTGTAAATTTCGATTATTTTGATGAACAATCACTACAAGTTTTGCAAAGCTTTGTTTATCATCTTTGTTTTTACATTAATGAAACGTTACATACATATTATTGAACCTGTGTACCTCCGAAATTTGTTATTAAACCGCCACAAAAGTATAACTTAGTACTATCATCCTTCATTTTCTTTTGCTGAGCATAGGGATCATAACAGACGAATAATACTGAGTGGAATTTATAAGCATTGTTCAGCAGAACTTTCATAACATTAATGGATATCTTTTGGCACGATTGTGAAAAAAGATTTTGCAGTTTATTTTCTATTTTACACTATCGTTATCATAGATATTGCTATCTGTCTGTACTTATGTACTTGCGTCGTACTGTTAATGCGTTCAATATAATAAAAACGAGTAGGTTAATATGGTGTTTTCCTTGATTTCCATGTATAGGACTGACCATGGGTATATCAATAACATAAATGTTTAATAACAATAGTTTCTAGTAGTGAAAACTATATGTTAGTAGGTATACAGGGTGTAAAAAGACACTTAATGAAGCCGTAAGCCGTTAAGTGTATCAGCCGGGGTTGCGGGGTAAGCGCAATAAGGTACCGCGACCTCGGCACAGAGCAGGAGAAGGAACAGGGGGGTTTTTAGTCAGTAAGAGTCTGACACTCCCTCCTGCCCGGCCCTGGGCGGGAGAAGTCATTTGATGATTTTCCCCTCACAAAAAAAAAGCCGTTAAGTGTATTCTACCCATTATTTGGATTTTTTTTTTTTCGTAAAGCTACCTAGTTAGAACTGCAGTATGCGTAGTTAACGGCTTTGTTAAGTGTCTTTTTACACCCTGTATTTGTATAAGCATATATTTTTTCTGCCAGATTAATCGTGTTCCCTCATTATCAATTACAAAATAAGGTCTTACACTCGTGAATTAATACACCAAAATCAGTTCTACTTGTACTAACAACGAATGATATTCTATTCTATTCTACTAGTAGTATGCCATTATCACTACAAACAAAGTCGCTTTCTCCGTCCCTATATCCCTATGTACGCTTAAATCTTAAAAACTACGCAACGGATTTTGATGTGGTTTATTTTAATAAATAGTGATTGAAGAGGAAGGTAAAAAAGTCATTAAATAGTGGAGATTATTTTTATCGGCGGTGGGTCGCTAATTTTCATTCATATTGCTTGGGAATGGAATAAATTGCAAAATAGAGTGTTTCATATGTGCACCTTGGAAGGAAGGACTTCTGGGAAGTTACCGTGGTGATAAACATATATGTTAAAATGGAATTCATGCATTTCAGTAGTAATCCTTGGAATTACAAAAATCGCCCTTATCGTATAGGAAATAGAAACTTAATCAAGGTCGTATTGGCATTGACGTGCGGTTGCCGTTGTATAGCTTGAAGGCCTTAGTTACTGCTATTGGTTATTAGATACTTAATATAATTTATTTTAAAGCAAATTGCTTAAAAAATCGTATAAATAAATAATATCTCTTTTGTTTTATTGATTTGTAAAGGTAAGTCAAAAGGAATACCGTCCGTCGACCCTGCTTCATTCCAATATGACAATAAATACTATGAAATACAATAAAACCATAAACATATTTTGAAATCATCTCCACTTCTTTCATACACTTTACGATAGTTTTAGATAAAAAATTAAGACGTCACGTAAACTGGACTAGACTAAAACTACTCTATGTTCGACTTCATATAGCGCCTTGTGTATAAAAAAATTTCATTGTACTTATAATGATTATTTGGTTGTTACAGGCAGCCATAAACCGAGTGATGCCACAGGACGGGAACAGCTCAGCCGCAAATGACAATGACACTCACGATGTCGAGATGATAGACGATGATATATCTGTGATAACTCCAAAAACTCACCCACCAGGTAACAAACGTCTTATAAATAATACAAACGGATATTATTGCATTATAAAAATATTCTACTACTCTTAGTTGAATCAGCCGGAGTGGGGCAAGCGCAATGAGGCACCGCGGCCTCGGCCCAGAGCAATAGAAGGAATGGGGTTTAGCCAGTAAGAGTCTGACATTCCCTCCCGCCCCACCCTGGGCGGGAGAAGTCATTTGATGATTTTCTACACACTAAAAAAAATAGTGTCCTCTCCTCCATCCTTCTCCAAACACTCAATACCCAAAAGACAATCCTCTGGGTTTCGAGTGCCTATGGTCAGCACCGATTGCTTCCCATAAAGTTATAGGTCTGCCCTGCTTTTTTAGCATATTTAAACTAAAGAGACTAAACTTCTTTAGTAAAATGATTTTGTTGATCACATAATTTGTGTTAAGTATTTAATATTTTATCATAATTTAACACTGGCTGCTAGTATATTTTTCTTTTATTGAAGAACTGCAGGAAGATATTCCAAATGTGCAGTACCTATGTTAACCACTTTTTCTGTATTTATTGTTTTCCTATAATAATAGTGTAATGTGCATAGATAATGAACTCTACTAAACAATATTTGTTTGTTCCACAGACCGGGAAGACACAAATCAAGCATCCACCTCAATGAATGTAAATTCTAATAACGCTCCCATTCCCTTTGTAGAACTACAGGTTCATTGTAATAATAAGATACATGAAGTCAAAATGTCTGGGAACGCTACTGTTGGTGAGTATTGCTTTGTTATAAACGTATTTTCTAATTATTCTGTATCTCAATAGATAATCCATTTTTATACAGTCTCAAATTACACGTAGACTGTGGTTTTACACCACGAAACGCGACCTTATCAAAGAAAACAATCAAGAAATTAAATTTTATAGTGTATCGATATTCTTCATTATTTTCACTCATCTTGGCAGTACGAAAGACAAATGGAAATCACACATTTTCCAAATTTGAATTTGGAATTATGTTCTATAAAATTCAAACTTTTAATGATACCATAATCAGCCCAATAGAAATAGTATAGCTAAAAAGATTCTATTACAAGTTCATACATCTTTAATGCGAAAAGACTTTTTTCCCCAACCGAATATAGTTGCCAATGCCTACTCTTATTTCATAAAACACCTTTAATTTGTTTAAGGAAAAATCGTTCAATAACAAGGTTAAAATTACAATTTACTGCAATATACTTACCCCTATACAAACAAATAAGCATATAATAATAAGATCTTTATCAACTTGTAATTGAAAAAAAATAATAAAAAACGTTGCAAAAAATATAATGACTGCAAGATACAGTACCAGTAGTGCTTTGGATGGGCCATTGGCTGCCGCACGACGTGTCGCGGGTTCAATTCCCGTACGGAACAATTTTTGTGTGATCCACAAATTGTTGTTCCGAGTCTGGGTGTGATGTGTAGGTATGTGAAATTTTATGTTTATAAACGCAACCACGACGCAGGAGAAAATCCTAAAATCAACTTTTTCATCAAATTAAAATAAATAAAAAACCAATAATTTCGTTTAACAGCCGACTTAAAAAAGGAATTGGAGAAGAAATGCGGCGTGCCAGTGTGTCGGCAACAGTTGTCGGGGCTGGGCGGGTCGCGCGCCACTAGTAACGCGACGTTGGTCAGTCTCAACTTACCCCCTAATGCAGTGCTGCGACTCAAGGCCGCTGAAACACTTATGGCTGATGATGAGTGAGTATATTGTAAATTATTTTGTGTTGTATTCACCATTATATTTGACAACTATACACACTTAACTACACTTAGGGTGAGTTGCACCATTAAACTTTAACGATAACATAGCCGTTATCAGCTGTCAAATCGTCGAACTGACCAATAGGAGGCCGTTTCATGGCTTCCTATGGTTATTCATTTTCATTTATTCATTTCATTCATTCCTATGGTTTGGTTAAAGTTAAATGGTGCAACTCACCCTTAACCCTGTTTTTTTTTGGGATCGGATACCAAACGTCCATACTGATCACTTGATGATCGTCCATGGATACCTATACCGATGAATTACAGTTCTAAACTTTTTTTTAAGCATTTAGAGATGGGGCAGCCAATCACCCAGCGAACGCAAGTCTTTTTTTGTGAGAGCCACTCGGATAGAGTAGGCCCATTCGTGCCTAAGCCTAACTCTTCCACTCTCCCCACCCCTCCACTCTCTCACCTAGACTAAACCTGCAAAGATAAAATTATAAATGAATACATGTGTAACTAATAATTTAAATTTTTCCTCACCAGGGTGGCAGAAAGGTTAACGACAACATACGTTTTGCACGTGAACGTTGAAGACAAGGAGTATACGCTCAAGTACCCCGGCACAAAGACAGTGCAGGAAGTCAAGAACGATATATATTCACTAACAGATATACCTGTTAGGCATCAGGTTAGTATCACATTATTTCTTTTTAATAGTTTTTAAAGCAGCCAACAGGGATTATATGATCTTAAGCAATCGGCGCATTAAGTGGATTGGGATTCCGGTAACAACACTCACAGGACGAAACACAATGCAGGCATTATTAAATTATATTGTATTTTACACTGGTTGTTAGTTCCCTTCCTTATTTTAATTTTGATGGGTCATAGCTAGCGCTGCCTATAATCGCTTGTGAACATGGTACTTAATCGCAAATTAATCAGAATTAAAAAATAAATCTTATTGCCACTTTGCTTAATAATATTATTTAGATAAATAATGCCAAATAATAGCATTATTTACTCCTTTAGAGATTTATCAAAATTCTAGATCGATCCAGACTTTTGGTTTGTATATAGATATAGTTTACTAGCGGTCGCCCGCCGCTCCGCCTTCATTGATGTCGATTTTACACTTTTACAAGGTTTTTTTTTTAAATTTTCTCTACGTGCGAACCTTTTCTGGACTTCCACGAACAATTCAAGACTAAAATTAAATCGGTAAAGGCGTTGTTGAATTATAACATTACAACGAAATGTGGTCCAACTTTTTATATATAGATATAGTATACCTACTTATCTAATACTAGCGTCATCACCTAGTTACTTAACACATCTATGTTCCCGCAGTCGTGGACAGGTTGGCCGGCGGTCCCGGGGCTGGACGAGACAGTGCTGGCCATGGCGGGCCTCCAGCTGCCTCAGCACGAGCTCAGCGTGCGCCGCGCCCCCAAAAAGGACTATAAGAGGGTAAATACGGTACTGGACTCTTGTACTAATCATTCAGTTCTAAGGTCCATTTATGTTGGAAACTACTTAACCACTCTACAGTATATATGTAATATAAATTTCCAATGGATTAAGGATAGTGACTAATTACTTACATCAGTACATAGCATAAAACTAAGTCGCTCTTTCTGTAACTTTATCCCTTTCTCTTTGTATGTATAATGGTTGTCATATTTCGTAAAAACAAATATTTATAACTGTCATTTCCCCTTGTTTAAAACCCTGCACACTCTTACCATTAAATATATTAGTTTTCGTCATTAATAGCTTTATATAAACAACTGATATGAAAGAAGGATATTTCACACTATTTAAGATTAAGTAGATAATAAACAATTCACATGAGCTTTGTTTTGTGTCAGTCATAAGTATGAAATTGTTGTTCAGCATTTTATATCTTATAATGAGAAGCCCAAGGCTACATTTCTTATGTAGCCTGGAGTGTGTTGTGTCATTTCTTGAAGCTCCTATTATCATATCATCAGTCATAAAGTAATTTATTAATTTGCAGATAATAGTTGAGAGTTCAGATAGTGAGAACAGTTCTGTGGAGGAGGTGGAGGACACGACGGAGGGCTACACCGGCGAGGATGACATGTTCGTAGACCTCGTGCAGACTGAGAGGTTGCAGCCACTAAGTAAGTATACTTATCAATTAAGTATTGGAGGGATAGTCACTATATATGCCATATGATAGTTGAATTTATACTATAAATGGTGCAACTAGCCCATTATTGAAATAAATATTATTATACAAAATAATGGCAAGCTTTATCCAATGACTGCACGGTTGGCGCGGTGGCTGGCTGCCGTGCGACGTGTCGCGGGTTCGATTCCCGCACGGAACAACACTTTGTGTGATCCACAAATTGTTGTATCGGGTCTGGGTGTCATGTGTAATTTATTTTTAACTTCGGTTACTACTCTAGTATTTTTCTAATACATACTAGCTACTCTCGCGCAGTTTCACCTGCTGCTCCATTTAATCGTAGCGTGATGTTTTATAGCTTATAGCACTTAGGAACGTTGTAGCTATCTATCAAAGAATTTTGGCAATCCGACCAACAGTTCCCAAGATTACCCCCTACATACAAACTTACAAATTTTACCTCTTTATAATATTAGTGTGCATGTTATGTGGATGTTTCCTTGTTTTAGTGTCAGACAGTGTACAGGATGAGGCGTTGGGTTGTATAGAGTTTGCGCAACGGTTCCGCGCGCGGTACGGGCCCAACACGCCGCAGTTTTTCGAGGGCACCCTGCAGGATGCCATTCAGGAGTCCTGTCTCAAACCTGCCAAAGAGGTTCGTCTATAACGAATTTTACTACCGATTTTACCGATAAGCTAATAATGTAATAGGTCGGCAAATGAGCAGACGGATTACTTGAAGGTAAGCAATCAGTGCCGCCAAATAGACATCTGCAACAGAAGTTACGAGTGCGTTGCCGACCTTTTGGGGATTAGTGTTTAGGAGAGGGGAAGGATTGGGCCTCCGGTAACCTCACCCACATGGTGAAACACAACGCTGTACTTGTTTTCTGTGAGGCTGTAGTATCACTGCGGTCGACCCGACTCATTCGTGCCGAAGCTTGACTCTCCCACACTTGTATACTCCTAAAGTATTGAATTTGATCAAAAGTTTTGGTCAAATTTAATACTTTATCCCTAAATTAATGAATGAAAGTATGATTTAATAATTTATTGTATTGAAATTTCAAAATAATATATTTATAGCCTAAGAAACTGTCCAATTGAAAAATGAAATATATTTTTTTCCGATAATATGTGGAACATAACTTCAGACTCTTTTAACAAATAACTTCTCTGCAAAACACATAATAATAAATAAAGTTGCTCATTATATCACTTTTATATTAATTACACAAAGTTTCATTCCGCATTGAACTAAACCTCATAAATTCTCCTTGCAGCGTAAACTCCTCGGCGTATACTTACACCACGAACAGTCCGTGCTTTCCAATGTGTTCTGTGCACAACTTCTGGGCTGTGAGGCCGTGCTGCAGACACTCGCCGCCAACTTCATTGTGTACGGCTGGGACCTCACGCATCCAGATAATAATAACATGTGAGTTATAAATACTTGAGAAAATAACTCTGTTCTTCGTTGTCATAGAAATTGTATTAAGAGCTTAGATTTTTCTAAAATCGCATCTATATTTCCAATAAATCTACCTGACGTACAATACCGCCAACGTATCTTGGCGAGTCTGAAGTTAGCCGATTAGCTGCGCAGTACACAGTTTTGTTCCTAAAAGATCCATTGCGCAGACAAACGGCTAACTTCAGACTCGCCAAGATACGTCGGCCGTCCTGTGTTTACCCTTTTCCGTGTCAAAGTCAAATCATTTATTTCAAATAGACCACGACAGGTACTTAAGAACGACTAGCAAAATAAAATATTATAAACAAAATTAATGCCTGTCTTATAATGACTTAGAAATAGTATTAAGTAGGTAAACAAAATTATTTTGAACAAACAATAATTGTATCATCCTTTATGTGTACTAATGTCGAAATTATATTATCTATAACCTAACCTTGATTAAAAAAAACAGTCAGTGTGGAAAACCTACCTGTCCAAATTGTTTCAGTTTTACAAAATGATTAAAAACTATAGATTTCACAAAATAAACTCCATTTTCTATATTTAGAACCTATTCATTACTCATATACGTTTTCCAATACCAACCCTTTTAAGTGTAAAACATATTACAAACAATACAATACTTCCAACGTATCTTGACGAGTCTTAAGTTAGCCGATTAGCTGCGCAGTACACAATTTTGTTCCTAAAAGATCCATTGCGCAGACAAACGGCTAACTTCAGACTCGCCATGATACGTCAGCCGTACTCTACAATGACATTATTTTGTTTTTATCCCCAGGCTACTATCGTCAGTAACAAACGCGCTAGGTCCAATCGCCAGTATGACGATACGCAACTTGCCACTGGATCGCATGCCCGCACTAGTGATCATCATGCGAGTCCGCTCCATTACTGAAATATACTCCGTTATCAATGGTTAGTATTGTTTTACTTGACTGACATTAAATCATGGCATCTATATAATATTATAAAGCTGAAGAGTTTGTTTGGACGCGCTAATCTCAGGAACTACTGGTATGTTGAAAAAATGTTTTGTTGCTGAATAGATTTTTTATCGAGGATCGCTTTAGGCTATATAACATAACGCTATGATCTGTAGCAGCCGAGCAGCGGGTGAAACAGGGCAAGAGTAACTAACTTTATAAAAAAGAAAAGATATTATAATAAAAACATATTTTTATTACTTCACTAAAATAACATTCTGTAACTGACTTCCAATGTGTGTTATCAGGTAACGTTGGCGTGTCAGAGTTACTGGGAGGGTTGGTGGAGGCGTTAGAGCGGTTCAGCTCTGCGCGCGAGGACGAGGCTCGGCTGGAGAGGGAGCGCGACGCCAGGCAACGCGTCAAGCGGGAACAGGATGAAGCATACCAGAGGAGCTTAGAAGCTGACAGGTATAAGACTATACTCGGAATTTTAATTCCATTCCAGATTTGACAATTTCAGTGTTACAACGTTATGACACGTAATAAATAGTGACGTTGCGAAATTATTCGATGTGGAAATCGAATATTTCTGAATCGATTCCTCTCGTTTATAAATTTAATCTCGTAAACTAAGTTTATCAGGCAATAAAATATTTCTGAACCGATAATTTAGTTTTGACAATTAATTGTGTCTGTGATTTTTATTGTCAATTAACATATCTAGCTTACTCATTTTTTCCTCTTCTTTGATAACATGGGATACGTATTTAGACTATTCGGTAGCCGTAATTTTTTGAATGCCCTTCTGAAACTGATTCACTGATTGTTTATCGATTTTTGTGTTCATCGCTACACTGTTATATGTGGTATCATTATTTCACAAAATGACAATAGGTCATGTCAAATCAGGAATCGAATTAAAATTCTGACTATACATTGTTATTGATTTCATATTACTTTAAGTGATCAGGGTCGCCAGTGTATTTTATTGATATCGAAATTATTTGATTGCGTTGTCATACGACATGTCAATGTCAATCTATACTAATAATACAATATTATAAAGCTGTAGGGTTTTGTGTTTGTTTGAAAGCGCTAAACTCCGGACCTGCTGGTTCGAATTGAACCATTACGTTTATGTTTGTTAGTCCATTAATCGAGGAAGACTATAGGCTATAAAACATCGAGCAGCGGATGAAACCGCACGAAAGTAGTACTGTATAAATACTAGTCTCATCAGGTGGCGACACTAAGTACAGTAGACTTACTATTACTTAATTAGATAGGTTTCTTTTTATTATCTGGGTAATTCCTATGTGTCATTTCCTTTTTTTAAATATAACTGCGTGCCAAATAATCCTATGTTTCTACCAGTAATAAATAATAGCTATTTTTTATTCGTTTTCTATTTTCAAAATTCTCGATACTTAATAGCAAAAAGTTTGTATAGACACACTTTTTAATAATTAATACTTATGACTGAGCTAATATTTACAAGTAGTACACTATTTTATTTCGTACTTTACTTCCACTTTTTGCGTAACAATTAAATAGTCATATGTATTTTAATAAAAGCGATTACTTATGTCCACTTTTATTTAACAGGGCTAAAGAAGAAGTAAAGAAAAAACAAGAAGAAGAAAGAAATCAAGAATTAGAACGGGCAGAGTCAGAAAGACAAATGGAGGAAGCTAAAAAAGAGGTCAGTCTTGTTTTGACAAATAGTACTTATTATAATTATTATAAGTTTTATAAGCTTATTATAAGTTTCAAATCGCCAATCCGTTGATAAAACGTGGTGATTAATCAAAACTCCACTGTGTGAGAAGAGACCTTTATCCAGTAGTGGGTACTTATAGGTTGATGACATAGGTTTAGAATCTAAAACGACGTTACGAATAGGTACCTAATTGTAGATATTTTTAGATACAATTTTGAGACAAGTTTTAGATAAAAAGAAGCTAACACTGTTACATTTAGGATTGATTTTGCAATAGACAGATAAATGTTATCTGAGGAATAAAATTATTGCTGTCACTGTCTTATACAAACATTTTGACGCAACAGCATCATAATTATTCCCCAGATAAAAAGTTTTTTACACTACTGCCCAAAAAATTGAGTGTTATGTATTTATTAGGGTTCATGTGTGTATGTGATTTTTCTTTGTTCCACTGTACCTTCCAAACCCCTGGGCAGAATTAGACATATAGCATATCGTTGGAATCCTTAAATCAACGCGGGTGTCATGGGCTAGATTGCCCTAAAAAACTAATGGTGTGGCTATGGGGCTCAAATAACGCATAATATATTTTAAAAAAGTTCTCAAAATAGTATGTGCTTTAACTGCACGATTGGTGCGGTGGCTAGGCCACCGGCTGACGTACAACGTGTCGCGGGTTCGATTCCCGCACGGAACAACTCTTTGTGTAATCCACAAATTGTAGTCCCGGGTCTGGCTTTGATGTGAATGTGAAATTGTATGTTTGTAACCGCATTCACAACACAGAACAAAATCTTTATGTAGGGCAACACTAAAACAATTGCAGTTAGAAGAGTAGGTTACAAAAATATATCCACTTTAGGGATTTATTTTGGGACATTTTCGTGAACACCAAATATTATGAGTATAATTTTTTTACTGAATGATTGTGTGGTTGTTACCAGGCGGAGCGCGCGGAGGCGGCGCGGCGCGTGCCTGCGGAGCCGGCGGCGGGGGGCGGCGGGGAGGTGGCGCGCATCCGCGTGCGTCTGCCCGCGCCGCACCACTCCTCGCTCGAACGACGCTTCCACGCACACGACACGCTCGAGGTATACACACACACTATTTAAGGCGTATAGTATTTATTTATTTATTGAATTATGGACAACCAGTAGCTGCTACATTATTTCTTACATCGAAACATTAAATACAATATAATAAAATTTTATGTACAGCATTTTAAGGTGTCACAACATGCACAAAATATTTCGTAGTGACACAAAAAATAATTAATAATAAAAGAAATAATATGATTTAAAATAAATAATAGTACCCTCAATAACCTTGAGCATACTAACGCACGAATGGCGCAGGCTGCGTTCGCCCATTTTTTATATATGGAAATCCCAATAATATAATATGTTCTTTATAAAATATCTGATTTACCTGTCTTAATCAATAGTCCATATTGATACACTACACACACAGAACCTAAAACACTAATCTCAAAAACACAAAACACTGAGCACTAATTACGCCTTTAATGTTCATTATTCGGTCTACTCGACGTCCGTACGTCATTGAAGGGATCCAGCAGAATACCAGCGTACCCACTTATTTATCAATTAATTTGTGTCTGTTATTGTTTGTGCTGAATAAATGTGTTATCTATCTATGTATCTATCTAAAAATAAATTTGTAAGTAATTTTTTTTTTGTAATTTTGTTTCAGGCGTTATTAGACTTCCTCGCATCTAAAGGTTATCCACAACAAAGCTTTAAGGTCATCTCTAGCTGGCCTAGGAGAGATGTAAGTTGTATTTTATTATTCATAGTCTATTCTAGAAATGTCTGTCTATATTTAAATGTAACGGATAATCCAAACTTCGGTACGAATGGGTCGGCTCGACCGGAATCATACCACGGCATTACAGAAAACCGGCGTGACACAACCACGGCGTTGTGTTTAGCTTTGTGAGTGAGGTTACTGGAGGCATAATCCTTTCCCTTTCTCCATCCCCCCCAGTCCTTAAATATCCGAAACCCTTATCTTTAAAAGGCCTGCAACTCACTCCTTTGGTGTTGGTAACGGTTGTGCACTTTTGCCGGCATATCTTATAAAAAAAAACTAGCTTCCGCCCGCGGCTTCGCCCGCGTGATATGTTGATAAAAAAGAAGCCTGGTGTATCCTATGCCTGTGCCAAATTTCATCCAGATAAGTCTAGCCGTTTTGTCGTGATTAAGTAACAAACATCCAAACATCGTAACTTTCGCATTTATAATATTAGTAAGATAATATATAAAAGTAACTTTACTTATAAGACATATTTACCTACTTTTCTTGTCTAGTTATAAGCAATATACTCATTCCACATAGTCCATACTAATTGTACGTTTTTCCTCACAGCTTACCTTGGAATCTCCAAGCAGCACACTGAAGGCTCTGAAGCTGTATCCCCAGGAGACAATCATGCTGGAGGAGCGGTGAAACGAACCAGCCCACTCCGTCCCACGCATGCACTCACACTGCACTCACTACGAGACCCGATAAATACAACAATACATCCTATTTGTTTACAATCAGAGACCATTTTCCTGTGACAGTTCCTTGAATATTTTCCCGCCAAGATCGCTTTTGTAGAAGTCATTCGACCCATAAACTATTTGCTACCAAGGAAAACAGTAGCCCCCGGTACCAATAAGAAGTATAACACGATATAAATATACAAAAATGTTCTCTATTTCCCTAGAATTAGAGCCCAATTTTGAGTGATACAATTAAAATGAAATAATGAACTGAATAATCTTGCATTAAAGTTCCTATTTCAAAATCTCGAATATTAATATCGTCACGTGGTCTCTACTATTTACAACCGCATTTCTACAAACAATAACCTTTCTGTCTTTGGAATAAAGTCCAATTTAGCATGATTTTAATGTTTTGTGAAACTACTCATAAACAGAATATTTTTTTATTAATGATCTGAGTGTCGGTGTTTGTCATATTGAATTGACAAAGGAATATGAACTTTATGGCAAAGAACATAGAAAACGTAATATCTGTGCTGACCCTATTCAACGTTAATTTTGGATTGATTCTTTATAAATATATAAGTTATTGATACATGTCAAGTTTAATTTGAAATCGTAATTTTAGTATTAATATATTTTATCTATAAAAATATTATTAACTGAGGGGCTTTAATAGAACCTACAGGCGGTAGACCTCCCATTATTTTTTAAATTAATGTTTAATATATGCTAAAGTTATTTTCTATTACTTGTCATGTGTGTCTAAAAAAAGGGAAAATGTCTACCTTATGTTGTAAGACGGAAAGCTTAATTTTGATTAGCCAATTTTGTAGAAATTTCGTTTTTCAAAAACCGACTAGACACTTTATTTGCATAATTATACACAGTAATAGGTTGTTTATTCCAGGCAGCTTATAAACCATAATAATAATATTTAACTTTTTAAAATTAATTTATATTATTTCATTTTCTATTTCCAAATTATATTTAGTTCAATATCTAAAACTGTCTACCAGATATCATAAACAGAATAAATTTATTTACAATACGGCCGCTGTATCTTGGCGAGTCTGAAGTTAGCCGTTTGTCTGCGTAATGGGTCTTTTAGGAACAAAATTGTGTACTGCGCAGCTAATCGGCTAACTTCAGACTCGAAAAGATACGTTGGCGGTATTGTACTAGACAATTTAAAACAGTCGCCCCTCGATATAACAAGGAGTATTTCTAAAACGAATTGCCAACATATTGTATTTAGCTTTATACAAAGCATTTAGTGATTGAGTAATCGCTCTTCACAATATAAGGTGAGTTGTACCTAATTAGTGATCGATTTAATTAATCACAAATACGATAGTCGTGTGTGGGCTCGAAACCTGGCAAGTACCAATGTGACTTTTTCCGAGTTATATGTACTTTCTATGATTATCTAGACACCACTGATATACGGTGAAGGCAAAACATTGTGAGGAAACCTGGACCTATAATTTCTAATTACAAGTTTGAAATCGCCAATTCGTCTTCAGCTATCGTGGTGATTAATGCTCAAACCTTCTCCGTGTGAGAAGAGGCGTGCGAGTGATGGTGTGATTGTACTAATGATAAAAACAACTTTTCCATAGAAACTTTATTTTTATACTCGATAGTTTTATTTTTATTATTATAACAAAATTACTGTGTAAAGTTCAGACGAGGTCGCGCGTGACCTCGCCGCTAACAGCTGATCGGGCGATGCATGGCGGGCGGGCGAAAATTGTTCTAATTAAAACTAAAATTATAAAGTGTCTGTATTTTCTTCACACCTAAACTACTGAACCGATTTCTGTAATATTTCGGTACAGACATAGTTTCGAACTCTAGAAAGGACATAGGATAGTTTTTACACCAAAAATCTGCAGGAAGTCACTATTCCACGCGAACGAAGTCGCGGGCAAAAGCTAATTGATAAAAATAAAACTAATAAGTATAGAATACAGTTTCTTTGAAAAATTGTTTGTTATTATGAGTACCATATCTTAAATAAATATCGATCACTAATTACCAATCACCCTATAGATATAATATTATGTAATAAACATACAACACAGGATGAATAATGCGCGTTGTAATTTCAAAACTAACTTAAATTTTGAGTCTTATACCAATACTTATAGTGTTTGTATTGCGTTGTGCACCCGCCGCGGACGGAGCTCCTTACTGCAACAGCTATATAGCGAACAAGAAACGTATGAATGAACCCATTCAGTGCAAAGTTAAAATTTCCTCATTTATATTCGTATAAATGAATAACTTAATATTGTACATTGATTGTATTAATGACGAAAAACCCGCTTCGAAATACAGTGCTGTGACGTCATTTATTTCTAAACAAGCAAGCAATATATGCATCACAATATTTTAAAAGCCAAAGAGCTGCGTTTAAATGTTTTTTTTTATGTTGCGGCGTGACAGCATTGAGTTTGGAACCCGGTCTTTTTGGCTCCATGTACTGATCCTTTATGTAAACTTGTTCGTGTATTGTAACCGACCCTAGTCGGTCGCAGTGCCCTGTATTATATACTTACATACATACATGATAATAGTATAAATTATAATGCAAGTGGATCCATAAAAATTTTGGATGTTTGTAATTTTTTTCACGAATCCACCTCTGGAGTGTATCTGTGTATTGCGAGGAAGTTATGTACCCAAAATAATAAACAGATGGAAGATATTTGTGTATTTTATTTGTATTTCCTACGATACATACTGCTGTATAGATTTCTACTTTAGTCTTTAGAGAAATCAAGTCACCTGATTGGTTGGCTGAATTATCAACAACCAATCAGATGACTTGACAAGAGATTTAAAAGCAGATTAGTTAATTTTAGCGTTGACAAGCCTTACAGAAACCGGGTGTAAGGCTCTTTTTTGAAGCAAAAATTTACGACTCCTTTTTAATTCATACTCTTCATCTATTTATTGTACTGTTCTAACTAAAAACTACGCCAAAACGTAAAGCTCTGATTATATTCCATCTATGAAGCAAATTGCTAAACCTACACCGTCTAATGCCTAAAATCTCGCACGCTATTTATTTTAACAACTCTATCGAAAATAATTTCGCAAAATAGTACAATTATAGAAGTTATCATGCCGATTGCAAGAGCAAGGAGTGGCGTAGAGAACTCTCGGATACCGACACAGAATATACTCGAATCCGGCGTGTGCGCACACTCTGGCATAGGCTCGTCGATTTCTGATTGGATGCGAGGTGGCAGACCCACTTCGTACATCTTTCGAATGCTGGAATAAAATTTGAAATCATATTCAAAACCACCAATGAATTCAAAAACTAATAACAGATACTTCGCTTGCCTGTAACGGTGGCAAAAGCAAACTATGAGGAAAATTGCCAATGTAGTCATAATCTTTACTAGGTATTTCAAAATGTTTAATGACATAACTGTAGTGTGTAGCAAAGGGGTTGCCCCATTACACAGAACCTTCTTTTGTTTTGGGAAAGCAGGGCACTCTTAGGCCCCCGCTGTCCACTAGGTATGTCCTCCGGGTGGTCCTCACAATCACAGCACCCGGGAGTGTCCTCCCGCCGGATTCGCCGGTCAACCAAGTGAAGGCGCCATGGCGTTATAACATCGTGTCTGTCTCGCTTACCCTTGCGTTATAATTAAAGCAAAAACAAGTAGTAAACTACCTTCGAATTGTACATATAATAGATTCTCCATACTTACGCGTAAGCAATATGTTCCTTATAAGGCGAATGCTTTCTAACAACGACGCCCATTCGTTGCAACGGGTACATCTGCACTAAATTCGTCTCACAGATCTCCCTCTCAGTAAAGGTCGCCTTGATCAGTGGAAAGGCGAAAGTAGTGTCTATGTGGAAAGCAAAACCTCCTTTCTTCACTAAAGCTATTCCTTCCTCGGGTGTGAAGAAATTGTAGTGAGTACCTGTAGCAACCTTTTTGTGGTACAGTTCTATTGCCACTGGATCTGTTGTGCGCTGGAACATTAAGAAGGTACTGTTTGACCCAAAGAACCACAAAACCACCACTTTGTTTTTACTCAGTGCAAGTAACTATATAACATTTATCGTTATTAGCAAATAATTCGCTGCACCTGAATCGACACAGCCGTTCTCGTAAAAACTTGCGAATAATTGAGCAAAATTGATTCTGTTAAGTACCCAATTTCTGGAAAGTATGTTTCTAGAGGTATATTGATCCTAATCATACTATCTAGTGCTCATGAACAGATGTCAATAACTAAGTAGGTACTCATCATCATCATTAGCCGAAAGATGTCCACTGAAACATGGCCTCCTATTCAGTTCTCAACGTTGAACAATATCTTGCCACTTGCATCCAACGGCTCAACTTTGACGATGTCGTGGGACCACCTAGCGGGGGCCTGCCCACGCTAGATCTTCCAGTCATTGGTCGACACTCGAGCACTTTCATCAGTCTTTCGAGTGACGTTGCCTACCCATTGCCACTACGAGCTTTGTCAGTTTTAACCACACACACCACATTTTTGACTTCTCACTAACTTACCTACTCACCTTAAAATAATCTTTATCATACACAATATCATGGGCGCCGACCTTCAAGTCACTGTCTAAGATATCCTTCAGTGTCCTGATATTCCTTGGAGGCTCCAAGAGTAAGGAGGAGACTATGGTCGCGTTATAATACTGGTACAATGTTACTGCGTACACGAATGTGGTGAAGATCACTAATTTCGTGGACGTGGACTGACGGTTTATTGAGATTCCTATAACATTAATAGCAATTTGCATCGACATTGGGTTTAAATGGGTCGAATGGACCGGAGTAGCCTCATAGACAACCGCTGTGAAAAACAGCATTGTTTCGTCATTTGAGGTAAAACGTAATACTCTTTTATGTGAATGAGGTTGCCGGAGGCCCAATCCTTCCAATCCTCGGAATCCTCTGTGCCTAATTTCTAAATCCCCAAAAGGATGTAACTTGCAAGTCCGCTAGTGTTGCGGTTATCCATGGGCGGCGTCAACTTGCTTACCATCAGGTAACTAGTCTGCTCGTTTACCGCTGTATTACATTAAAAGAGATTATTGAATAAGAATGTTGATAGTTTTATTTTCAAACAATGTAGCTATATTAACTAAAATTCGCGGGTTACTCACGTGTAAATGTTGAGAAAAGCTCTACTAGTTTCGAACCACAGAGGGGTTCTTCCTCATGAGCAGCGTGCGCGGACGCGGCGACGTCGCGCAGCCTACTCAGTAGGCTGCGCGACGTCGCCGCGTCAATTTGGTATGACTCACGATAGTTATTATAAAAAAATGTAGCTATGAGTAAATAATAGGTAAATCTACCAAGTGTCTTCCACAATGAAACGATTCAAAGTATTTAAAATATACCCTGTGACCACGCCATTTTAGGAATTCATCACATCTAAACTTAAAGATTGCTTGCTTAATCGAACTTGTCAACTAAGTATCTTACCTTGCTGACAAATAGCGCCCCATATCACAAGTCCAGCTAAACTTAACGAGGATTCTTCATTATCGCCTTTTTGTACCACCAGCATAACCCACAATATGATGGCTGTCACCGCCAACATGGCGACAACACAATACCAGACCACGTCACTAAGAGGGCGCGTGTAGATCGTGTAGAAACCGCCCGGGTACTTGGGGTGGCGGAAGAGGAAACTGTGCCTGGTAATGAAGAAGCTTTCAGCAAAAAACGTAGGTACATCATTATCATTATCATCATCATCATCAGCCGGTTGTCGTCCGCTGCTGGACATAGGCCTCCCCAATTGCACGCCACTAAGCTCGATGTTCAGCTCTTCTCATCCAACCACTGCCAGCCACCCTGCGGGTGTCGTCAGTCCACCTAGCTGGAGGGCGCCCTACACTACGTTTGCCTAGACGTGGTCTCTACTCTAGAACACGTTTACCCCAGCGGTCATCGATTCTTCGACAGATGTGACCTGCCCACTGCCAATTCAGTTTGTAATCTAAAATTAAATTCTAATTCTTTGGGCTATGTCGATAACTTTAGTTGTCTGTCGGATCACCATCACCAGGCACATGTTCCTAATAAATTAATTGTTGAGTAAATATTTTCTGGTGAGTTTCCACTGTAGGTATATCATTGAAAATTGTAGCTCCCAGAGAGGTGAAGTGTGGTAAAGAAAAAGAGTAAATTCCCGAACCTTTAGAAGATCCAACTAACAAATTCCCATTTCGAATAAAGTAACAACAGTTATACCAAAACCACTTTTCTTTATTTTAAGCCTGATCAGCCTGACAACTGTAGTTAGGTACATATAACTATAATATCGATCGTTTGACGGAAACACTTTAATTAAAGCAACGGTCAACGTGGTTTCTTACCTTGACATCCAGACCTCAGAAATGTATTGAACACGTTGCCCTCTATCGATTCTGTAGAAAATGGGAGCTCCTCCTATTTCTGCCATACCTTGATAAAGAGCATTCACCATGCCATCAAAGCTACCATTGCGTTGGTATCCCCAAGTATTAACGCGATGCATGTCGTAGCTACAAAGAATTGTAATATACTTAAAAATAGGTTCAATTGCTTCAAACCTGCCAGTCTACTTAACACACTATTGGTCCCTTTTAATAGGTACCCCATCTAGAGCCTTATTGGAGTTCAATAAACCACCACAGACGGGGCCCAATAGGTCCGATGTCCAGCCGAGGTTGCGGATTAACAACAAGGTACCTACCTACCGCGGCCTCGGCCTTGAGCAGGGAGAAGCCACAGGATTGTTTTTAGTCAGTTAGAGTGTGGCACTCACTGTCACCTCACCATGAACAAGAGAGGCCACTTAAATAGAGATTAAAAAAAACAAATGCCTATTGCGGTTACTCGTAAATGGCAGTGGCAGCAATCAAGGTAGAAGGTCCTTATGCTTATAACCATTTTACATAATTAAGTGTCGCCCTCTTTGGTGATACTGTAACAGGTGATCACTTACCTGATGTTGTACATATCTCGCATAAACTTCAACATGATAAAGTACTTCATACGGTGTACTGTGTCCACATCTATCTGTGACTTTATTGGCTTCTCCATATATTGTTCTATCGTCTGATTCACTATCTTGGGCAACGTCAGGATGATCACTGCTGTCTTCACGAACACTCCTTGCAAGTTCCATCGGTTCGAGGCGTTAATAACCAACGAAGAATTCCAGAGACCCACCTCTCTAACATTGTAGGTGCCCCTGTATTTTGATCCAGTATTAAATACTTCGTACAACTTGAATGTTTGGTTTATTTTATGAGCGACAATAACATCAGAATCCACTTCTATGGGGTACCGAGAAAGGACCTCTGTAGTGCCCGACAAATCCTCCGTGATTATCACGTAAGAATTCCCTTGAAAGGATATATTTTCTGAGTCTAACACTGAAGTCCATCCTTGGCAAACAGTGTATATTATTAATCCAACCTTTGGATAGGACTCGGCTACATTATACGTTGTGTTATAATCTATCTTAGCGCTCGCCATCAAGATATCATGCTCGTTCAATATTCTATGCACATTACTCACGACATAGCTATCGTAACAATGAAATATTACACCGTTCTTAATGTTTTTTAGTTTAAAAATATCGATCACTAAACTAACATCTGCTACAGAAAGAGTCAGTAATAAATTACACAGCAAATTCATTGTAACGAAACGAGAAAGGTTTAAACAACGGTCGACTTCATCGTTTTGTCCGCGAAGATCAATGTGATAGATAGGTAATAGGAACAATATCTAATTCCGAATAGAAGTTTAAATTCTTGGCGATTATCAATTTTACTTTGAAACGTAAATGACAATAAAATGAGAGTTATGAAAATAGGTACCTACGTCTGGGTAAATTCTATTAGGACGCTAACAATTGCGGCGTTTGATGAATTCGGTTGGTCGCCTGTTTTAATCCTCTGCTCTAGAAAGTTAATATAATACAAAAATTAAGTTTCCTTAAATTATTTGTTGCCGAAATCCGACTAATAATTGTGTTGCGAACTATCGAAACTTACATATTGTTCTATGGAAACGGTTAAAACGATTAGTTTTGCTTTGCAAGATACCTAGTATCCATACACCAAGATATCAAGATACCAGTTATAAAATAATGTACTCTGTGCTAGTATCTGGACGAGCGCACTATTCGCGACATGCTTTCGAGAGGAACATTTGTTCTAAACTCACTGTTAACATCGAATGTTAACACCACGTGGAACATACAACATTGCTGCGTTACCCCTGGTATAACCGGTGCGCTGGAACTCTCCGCTAGGCCTAGAGCAAAATGTGACCGTGATACAACTAAGCAATCAAGTAGACTATTAGGAGTGCCATCGCAGTGATTCCAACTATATTGATTCCTACATTTTACGCCGCAGTGAGACAGCGCCTTTACTGTCAGCAAGTTGACTGAAATTATGAATATAAAATGAAGAAAGCCTCCACGCCTGTCGTTGACGTTGATACCACCCCTATTAACGTCAATATTAAGTCGAATATCAAAACAACTATTATAGCTTCAATAGAACCCATGAATAGACCAAATTTATTCTATAATGATAGCCATTAGTTGTGACAAACTTTACAAGAGCATGCTATAATATTCAGTGGGTTTATAAAGCTAAGTTACAAACTGTATGCATTTGTACAGCATTCCTTGACAGTTACTTGAAAAAGAAGAAAGACTGTTTGCAATAAAAAGGATTTAATAAATAATACTATTCAAGACAAGCAGATTCAACAGTCAAACACATTTAAAAATTGTAAGTAGAGAATACATCTTGGAATGGAAACTCTGCATTATCAGGGACTAGGAGATCAGCCAGGAAACAGACCGTGCCAGCAGTGCCCTCATACAAACTCGCAGGATTATCCGGTAACCTAGCATCTCTAATGAACTCCTCAGTGGTCATGAAATCAGCAAACATTTTAGCTCTATGTAAATATTTCTCATCTCCTGTTAATCTATGCAGGAGTAAGAAGACATATCCATTCCCACCTACTCCATGACAAATGCCAGGGCCCTTGCGAAGCAGTCCCTTCCGCCACACCACCTCCCCTGCCTTCACACAGGCATCAAAGAATCTTTGATCTTTGTAAATCAAGTAAGCTTTGGCCATTACATAAATAGTTCCAGATGCGCCATGGCACCAATGCAGAAGCTTATGGTCACTCAGACCAATTTCCTCCATACAACATGGCCAGTTTCCTTCCTCAGTCTGCAACGAAGCAAGATACTCTACTGTGGTTTTGATGTCCTGAGCAGCAGATTTGTTGTAACTCAAGTAACCAGGCACAGATAGAAGCATCTGCAAAATGAAGCTTATGCCATGTGCTGCTCCAAGATATTCTGTATTGTAGTAATGGTACATCAATGGACAAGGGCTCTGGTGTTTTGTGGAGTATTCTCTTCCAGAAGCTACCATCATGTCACAGATCTTATATATCTCTTCATCAGTGAAAATTGCTGTTTTAAGTTCTCGACTCATCCAAAGAATCCCAGCAAGATAACCAGCACGTCCAACAAAGAACTCATCACCACCACATTTCAGAAATTTGGGGTTCATATAATGTGAATATAATGATTTATATACCTTCAGCATTTCGGCTGAATGTTCATCACCTAATTCTTTGTAAAGGACAGTGGCTAAGGCGTAGGTGCCGGCATCGCCTAATAAAAATGAAGTCTTGTCTCCAGCTGACGCTTCCAAGGCTGGTTTCAAGTACTCTAGGCTCTTTTGAATGTATATCGACTTGTTATCCGACAGTAATGGGTTTTTAGAGAGATGATAAAACATGTAGGAGACCCCGGTGATGCCGACGTATAAACCTCCGTCGACATTTTTGCGTGAAGCATGGAGACGTTTAGAAATGTTATTTGTATATTCATGTATTTGAGAAGTTATCTCATTTTTATCGATCACTGTGGAACTTCCTGGTTTGAAGTCATCGTATGGGTTGGTAAAGAATCTTACCATGTTATCTTCAAATGTCGAAACAGAAGACAACAAGTCTGCTGTCAGCAAATTCTTAAAAGTACGAAGGACAGTAGAAGACACCTTTTCAAAACTTCTACGCATCAATGCAACTTTGTTATAGTTCTTTAAAATAAAATAAATAAATTAGAAATAAATTCTTCTAGCAAACCTTTCTTTCGCTCAATCAGATGCGCTGTTGTTTTGTTTTGTTTTGAGAAAACTCCGAAAATTGACGTTTGACGTAAGAAAATTGCAAGATGACCAACATAACAAAGCTAAAATTGATGCGTTCATAGTTCCCTCGTGTATCTATGTAGTAGTTTCATAAAATTATTTTACTGAATCATCATCATTGTTTTACTATCATGATGTAATAAAGTTTCAACCATGGTTTCAACCGTAAATTGACTCTGCTTATGTATCACTGACAAAATGTAATTGTTCTAATTTTCCACTAAGCTTGAAATAGATCAAGGCCATTGTAGGCGTAACTAAGCAACAGATTTTGAAGTCATAAATTATTATGGACCAAAACTGCCTTTTGTACGAACTATATTCATAAAATAAAATTGTATCAAATGGGGCCAACTGTTTCTTATGTGTTTTTGTAACATTTTTGTTATTTAATATTATAGAATAATGCCTATTACATATAACCGCGGTAATGTAAGTAACAAAGCGTTTTTAATGTGTTATTACATAAATATGTAAATTATTTGGTTTTTACAAACTAATAACAGTCTGCCTATTTCTGATTACTTCTACTAAACATGTATTTGTGAAGGTAAGGAAGATCGCTTTTCGAACCAGAGGAAGATCAGCACAATCTCTTGATGCTGGTGGACCTCGTGTCGACCCAGGTGGCGGTGGAGACGGCCGCTTATTTCTTCAAATTAGACCGGCGCTTCCAGACCCACGAGCAGCATTAGCTCAGAGATCTCACACAACACTGTCTGGGTAAGTGACAAATGTTATATAAATGTCAAACAGTTACAGAAGAACTTGTAAGCTACGTAAGAAAGTATTTACACACGGCTACACTTCAATCAGTATAAATTGACCGTTCAATGTGCAGAAAAATCATACGAATCAGGACCATGTCAGACTGGTTTTTAATAGCTTGATATGTAGCCGCATGTGAGTACTTAAGATATCGACAAACTAATAAAAAAAATGAATTTTCAATAAAAAATTTTAGATAAAAATCTTACGTAGGATTTGATTTCAGGACAAGTAAATTTGTAGAGTCATATCATTATTAATAAAAGTAACTATCTTTACAGAAATGATTTCTTGCAAAAGGAAGATAGCAAAGATGAAATCATTAATTTGCAGGCTGTGGGTGAAGGAAAAGTTCAACTTTCTAGAACACCACAAGAAAAAGATCGGTTACCCGACAGGATTAGTCTTGACAGGTAGGTACCTAAGTACCTAAATAATTATCGAAGTATAACAACATTTTTTTAGTCTTAAGTAGGATGTACCTTAAGCTTTTAAGACATACCGCCGTATCCTTAGGGAAGTGATCGGCGGCGGCGACCTCTCGCGCCCGGCCTTAGTCGAGGCCATGGTGCGGAGTGAGAGGAACTGGGACGCCGTCTCCTCCTTTTGTGAAGCAGTCATGCTCGCAAAGAGAGAGGCGGCCCGCGTGAGGGTGCAATCCTCCTCCTCACGCCCCAGCAGCCGCAACTGGCGATACTACGGGCGTCGGGGATCGAGGGACGATCTCCGGCCACCGTAAGCACGGGCCTGCGGTCGGCAAGTGAGGGCAGCTCGCCGCCCGACCAGAACCAGGCCCGAACGTACGGCGCGTAGCGTTCAAAGAGCCATTCGACCACCACAGACGGGGCCCTAAAGGGCTGATGTTCAGCCGGGGTTGCGGGGTAAGCGCAATGAGGTACCGCGACCTCGGCACAGAGCAGGAGAAGGAACAGGGGGGTTTTTAGTCAGGAAGAGTCTGAAACTCCCTCCTGCCCGGCCCTGGGCGGGAGAAGTCATTTGATGATTATCCCCTCACAAAAAAAAAGCTTTTAAGACATGATATCATGGGCTTATACCATTGGTTACTACTGCACCTTGTAAATTGTCTAAGTACTAACTGAACACGTTTTTCAGGAGGGGCCTTTCATCGATACCTCACATAGTCGGGGAGCCCGGTTTACGACTTCTGTCATTACAACACAATCTAATAAATAGTTTGTCAGGATTATCTCCACTAGATTTAGGAAAACTCGTTTTTCTCGACGTATATGACAACCAAATTGATAAAATCACTTCTTTGGAAAGGTTATTTGGATTACGGGTACTTTTAATGGGAAAAAATAGGTACGACCGTATCATTTTTAAGAAGACGATCCATATAATAAGAAACGTTAATATGTTCTGCAAGTGATATGAATTTTAAATTTACAGGATAAAAAGGATCGAAGGCCTTAACAATCTGATAAAATTAGAAGTTCTAGATTTACACGGAAATAGAATAGGAAAAGTTTGCGGTTTATCTAACTTAAGTGAACTGAAAGTGCTCAATTTAGCTGGTAATCAGATCAAATGTATCGGACAAACCGATCTCCAAGGTCTTGTGTCACTAAGAGAACTGAATTTGAAACGAAATCGTTTGCGAAAGCTTCTAGGATTTCAAAACACACCAAAATTACAAAAACTGTATCTTGGTAACAACGATTTACAAAGGTATGACACAACTTACATAAAATAAATAAGTGCTTTTAAAATATTACAACTGTATCTATATTTTAATTTCAGTGTAGAGGATATGTCGTCACTTTCTGAGGCAGTTTCTCTAATCGATGTTTCATTGGATGGGAATCCTGTGGCTTTGGGTGGAGATTGTGTACCATTCCTTGTCTCATACCTTCCTAATTTACTTACTTTGAGCAACATGCACGTTACTGAACAGGTAATATAAACAGGCGTTGTGATATAGAAACTCTCCTAGAAAAGTAATTATTAAAACCGTCTAAGAGTGGGAAAAAATGCTTCGGTACTTCTGGCTCAAATAAGCGACAATAATTGGCGTGAAATAAAACGTGTTTCGTAAGTGAGTTTACCAGAGGCACAATCGGCCATGAATGCCCCATTAAAAACATCCTTTTTCATATAGGTACGAAGAGCTGCGATGGCTTGGAGAAATAATAAAGAGGCAGCACATGCAGCTTACTGCGCCCTGGGTGGAGCCGCGCAACAAGAAGCTAGAAGAGATCAAATCATTAATAACGCACGTACTAATTGGGAATTACTGAGGTTACCACTTTATTTCCGGTTCTAACATTTAAAATATTTCAATATAAATTTGAGACTAAATAAAATACCTACTTCATATTTTTTCTAGATCCGAAAATAAATGTTTCATACCTTCAACGAGTCCAACCAAAAATGTAGACATTGATAAAGAATTCTCTATAGATGCGACTGCAGTAGTAACACCACCTAGTGGACCTGAAATATTGGCTGAAGGGGGTGCACTTCCAGATGTCGTTGTGTCTTTACAACAAGCTGACACTGAAGATTCCGACTGCAAAAACACCAGTAGTGATGCCAATGTTAAGGCAAGTACTGATATTGCTCCTAAAGCATCGCCAATGAGAAAGTTACAAAGAAGTTCAACAGCTAAGAAACCATCTGAAAGAAGGGTTAACTTCTCAGATAGAAGCGCTTCCCAAGACACGGACGCTTCCCACTCTACATCTACTAGTAGTGATTTGAGACTACCTCCTATACTTTTGCCAATTATATCTTCTTTGGAAAACGTTAAACTCGCAGACAGTTCTGAACCAATATTAAAACGTTGGGAAAGTATTTCAAGTGTTGAGCCAGTTGTTGATTCTTCATTCAGTTCACTGCCTACATCAAGTAGCGACAGTGAAGAAGATACGAAAAAAAGACCAATTCGTCGCATGGCAACAGCTTTAAGACGACGAGAAAACTTCAGCACAATGCGGTCAAAATCTGTCTGTGATCCCGAAAGTCGTAGGTCCAAATCAAAAAATTCAGATATCAGTGAAAATGCGAGCAATATATCAAGTAGCACGAATGTTGGTTCCGTCGCCAATTCATCGACTTCAGGAAGTGATCATAACAGTAAAGTATTGCGAAGAGAAGGATCTCTCAACAGTAGAACAAGTAGAAACATAAGAAGCGCAACAATATCACGTAGAAATGAAAGAGCATCATCAGCAAACAGGGCATCTACGGCTAGAGCAAAGTCAGTGAAAAACTTAAATTTAGCCAACTTCAAATCCTCAGAACCGGTACCGAAGTCATTGCCAGCGTCCAAAGACAGAGAACAAGGTAATAATTTTAATAAAATTTTAAAACCGATTTTCTCAATAATATAATTTGACTACACCTTAGCATTTGTCTTAACTTTGCAGGAGTCGATTACTTAGTAGAAGTTTGTGACGGAGTGGTGAGTGCATGGGGTGCTGGCGCTGTACGGCGCTTGGCTCGTGATTGGGATTGGGAACGTGCACGTACCGTCACTCGTGCTGCCTACCACTACGTGCATTACAATGCGGTGGCGCAATCACTGCCAGAGTTAAAGTCAAAGTTAGTATCATATTTATAAATAGGTATGAAGAAGAAGAATCTCCTTTTTGTTGACAGTATGTCATCAGTTATCAATTAATGATATGCCCATTTGTTTAGGTATAATTAACAAATCGCATGCTTAAAGTGTGGATCTGTCTATCATCTACGTAATTCATTGTTTTATCAGGTTCCCAAATGTTAGCCACATCTCAGTTCGTGCGACAGGGCTGCAATGGCTCGGCCAACTACATGCTTTAGCAGAACTTCGAGGTGTTACTGGGCTTACAGTATTACCGGAAGGAAACCCAATTTATACAAAAATATGGAGAGAGTACGCAATTTATAGACTGGCTCATTGGGGACTAAAAGAGATTAATGATGAACCCGTAAGTTTTTTTATATAAACATGGAAACATAAAAAGCAAATGTCGCGAAAGTTTAATTTTGTTTCTTTAGGTTACCGACGAAGAAATAAAGACCGCGAATAGAACATACGCAGGTCTCAGTGACATAGTCCTCAGGGCTATTCCTGACGCTCCTTTACAACCGTTGCTATCGAGGCTAGGGCGAAGTGGCAACAGCGCAGTAAGTGCCAAAGCTTGGCTAAGAGCAGCTGATCCTGCACTGAGAGACGTAATTGCGAAAGAAGCCTTGCAGTACAAAAAAGGAAATGTCTCGCAGGTATATAAACTTTTCAACAAAATATTTAGGTATTCGACAATGTAAATGGGCATTTTGCTACCCCGTCGTCATTATGTTTGCATGATTTTTGTATAGTTTTAAATATCACAGGAGGATATGAGCTGGCGGGTTCGGGGACGTGGACAACTATCTCACGCAATTGATTTAGCTTGCGGTGCTGCGCAAAGGCTGAGAGCTCTGGAAGTACAATGGCCGACAATATTAGTTGAAATGATTGAAGACATTCTGAGAGACTTTGCTAACATGGAAACACACGTAAAAGAACAAATGAAAATGTTAATGGACACCATGTGAACAAGAATGTTATAGCTTTATTTAGAATAGAATTAGTGTCAAATGTCGCGCCGCCAAAAATCTAGATAAATTTATATTTCTGACATGAATAAAAATAGTTTATTACATTAGTTGGTAATTGTCACTAGATAGTTAATTGATCAAATTATTTATTTTAACTGATTGTATTATTATAACAATAATTTTGATGTGGACTAAACATTCAATATGCCTAACACTGACATGTTATTTTTATAAGCTTTCTTTACCTAAAACATTTTGTAGAAAAATTAACAAAACTACCAGTAAATGTGTCGACTGAACATTATGTAACTTGCTCAATATAGGTAGGATCTGATCAATTAATAGCGTGTGTAGAATATAGGTATTGTAGTACCTCAGGTGTTAAAACATTGAACTTACTGTAGTGACTAGTTTATTAGTAAAATATTTTAAGTTACCTAATTAATAATAAGAGTTTCAGGTGATGAACTGCCCTGCATGTGCCTCCTTGTTATAATAATAATAATAAAATATTTGTAACAAAATCTTGATTTTTTTATTATTTATTGTTTATTTTCGCCACTGGATAGCCTAGCGATGCGATGACCTTATTACCAATGGCTTCTCTCGCCTTAGGTATGGTGAGAGGGTGTGTCCCATTCTTACTGAAAAAAAACCCGCGTTACTTCACCTGCTCCAGGCCGAGTCCGCTGTTAGCGTAGTAAATCATTAACTTGGTCAGCTCAAAGAACATTGATTTTGAGAGTTTGAATTTATAACATTGAGAAGAGAATATCCTGATTTTTTCCTTAGTATGAACTCATTTCTTAAAAAGCTTTACGAAATGTTATACGAATCTTGGCCAAGATAAAAGTACCTACATAAAAACCTCCATCTTTTTTAATTGTTATGAACGCAGCTGAAGTAAATGCTGCCAATCAAGAATATTATAAAGTACACTGGATGTTGCACCAAGAAAAAAGAACTGAGGACTAATAAAATGACCTTGAAACACGTCATTTATGTTTTGCATCTCTTTCATCAGGGTGACAACTATTTTTACTAGCTTTAGGATATTTTGTACATATTTATGATTGTTTAAATACAACATTTTCTATTTTAGTGTGGTTTTCGATCGTATTAGTTTTGGTTTAGTAATCTATACATACATATAATTGTAAATCTGTAGAGAAGTCAATTCTGTACATTAAATATATTTTCAAAATAACTATCAGGGGTTGGTAGTCGATAACTCGATACTGATGCTAAAAATACAATGGCTAAAATGTTTGTCTGTCTGTCGTATGTATTCCTTATCCCATTCGTTGCTACCAACGCACCATTTGCGTTGATGGAGAAAACTACGTCATGCCACCAACATACCGTATGCGTTGAGGGTACCTTAGGATGTTTATTGGCATTACATAAAAATTATAAAAAATATTTGTCAACATTTCATGGCCAGAAACGTTTTTTAAATGTAGAAACTGTTGGTTTTTGCTTTGAACTATGTTCTTGTGCTGATAAGGAAACAACGGTTGGTGCCTCGAAGATCGATTTTGATTTTGGAATAACAGATGTTTTAATGAGTTTTTACCGCATGTTTGTGAATTGTCCAACGCCTGCGCTGCGCCGGCCCCGTGCCTTCGCTTTACGTCGCTTGTGTATGTTTTAGGTCTAAGGCGAGCACAAAGCGTGCGCGGATGCTGTGCGTGTGCAGCGCATGTTATCTTAATACACCCTTAAGAGTACTTACGTATACACACAACTGTTAACACTTAACAGTAATACTGCTATATCTAGATATCATTTCTTTAGATATTAAACTTGATACAAATGAAAAGATATTAAAATTGTCAGGTAAGCAACACAAATTAAAAAGATATACTACGTATGTAAACAATAAGAATTATAATGATAGGTATCCTTTCAAAAACACCCCTTGAAAACAAGTCAAGCTGATAAGTTCCCATTTAAGCTTAAAAATTACTTGCAGCTAAAAGCCAATACCTATTTGATTTCATAAGTCCTTACCAGTCCACGATATCAACCATCATCATCTTCCTGCCCTTGTCCCGTTTTATTTGGGGTCGGCGCAATGCGTTTTTTTCTTCCATTCTGTCCTGTCACTCGTCACGCTATCGCTAACTCCTCTGTCTTCCATATCACTTCTCACACGATATCAACCATTCAATAAATTTCCTTAAACAGTTACAAGTCCTCGTTTTAAAGTCTAGTATCAAGTCCTTTTTATTTAAATAGGTAATAACAAATGTCTATACATATTGACAGAGGGCGAATGTAAGATCATGTGTTTTGACGATAGGATCCCGATCTCGTTTTTCAGCCACCATAGGCGCGGGCTAGCGGATGGTGAATAGTTGGTAGGTTGCCGTCAGACCGTACCGGGGATATTTAAAAAAAGTCAGTACAGTGCAAAATCATTTTTATTAATAAAAATCACAAGTTTATATCACACGTGTGAAAATAAAACAGTTTTATGCAATTTTTGCCTTTTAGTGCGAATCTCACCCAAAAGCCTTTGAGTATAAGTTTTCAGATAAGAATGAATTCTTATTTTAAAAAACTATTCGAAATATATTTTATTATTTCAGTTTCGAAACATATTTTATTATTTTTAAGTATGGGAGAGCCATGCTTCGGCACGAATGGGTCGGCTCGACCGGAGTGATACCACGGCCTCGCAGAAAACCAGCGTGAAACAACCACACCGTTGTGTTTCGCCGTGTGAGTGAGGTTACCGGAGGCCCAATCCTTCCCCTCGCTCAATCCCTCCTCAATCCCTAAATCTTCAAATCCCAAATCCCTAAAAGGTCGGCAACGCACTCGTAACTCCTCCGGTGCGGTTGTCCATGGGCGGCGCTGATTGCTTACCATAAGGTAATCCGTCTGCTCGTTTGCCGACCGATTACATAAAAAAAAATAAAAAGTTTCGTGTAAATCCTTACAAGTATCAGTGATTGGATGTTTAGGCACAAATAATTCCTGCAACAATGGATAACATTTTTCCAGGACCGCTAACACTTTTAAATTTTATGAACTATGTATGAGTTCATAAAATTTTACAAAAAAAACGAACAATGTTTACTAACGACTTCAAATCTTTTATTTTTTGTTCATTTCGCGCAACTTTTTGTTGTAATTTTTTTTCTTTTTTTCCAAACACTTTTCCCGCAGTGAATTTAATTTTAAATTGAACATTAAAATCTTTTAAGCGGCGTCGTTTCGCTGGCGGTTCATTTTCATTAACTACCTGTGGAACAAAGATTATAATCAGTAACAACTAAGATGATCAAAAGGTCTCAATGTCTATCATGAGCTTACTACATCGTGAAAAAACCAAAAAAAACCTAACCTGGATGTTGAAGGTTTGGTTTGACTTCTATGCCATAAGTACAAGCTAATACTACACAATAAATTAAATACTTACAATATTTCCAGTGTGTGTGTTGTGCGTTGGTATTGTTTCATTTGATGAAGCCGAGCACTTGAATGGCGTTGTACTTTCCTGTAATTTGAAATATTATTGTTAACATGATTGCTAGGTATGTAAGCAGCAAATTTTGAAAAGGATAAAAACATACCTTAATACTAGACAATAAGTTAAATACTTACAATATTTTCATTTTGTATGATGTGTATGTCCTTTTCGCAATAGCTGTGTTCTTTTCCTGACATTGTGGAACAAGTATCAGTTTCTGTCGGTATCATTGCATTAGGTGAAACCAAGCATTTGAATGGCGTTTTACATGCCTGTAATTTGAAATATTATTCTCAACATGGTTGTTGGATGGGTAAGCAGCACATTGTGAAATGTAAAAAATGCTTACCATAACGTTATTACCACAGGAGCATAATTGTACAGAATCAACCAGAACAGCACTATTTAAAAGCCTTTTTGGTCTTAATGGATCATAATTCTTCGGCTTAAAGTGTAAGCTACAAATCTTTGCTGATTCATAAAACTTCCCTTTTAATAGCAAACAACCATTTCTGCCTTTTTTCCGAGTCCTTGGGAAAACTGAAACATAAAATTAATTGTATATTAACCGAGTTGACTGATTTAATTTACTGTAATTAGACCAAAATAGCAGGACAGCTCTAAAATTAGTTTTGACACTCTTTTAATTATTAAAATTTGAAGACCTTTCTGTTTTACCCTCAGATATAATACGTTAGTCTCATTATAAGAGCAACGAGGCCTACATAAAATTCAACCATTCCACAAATCAAAAAGTATCTACCTAACTTAAAAAATATGGTCACTCTTTAGCTCTTTGTTTACAAACACATAATTTTGACGTTTAAGACTAAACGTACCTGTTTTTTAATAATTAAATGCGATTTACGCATATAAATTTCTAAACGATGACAAAGATTACTAGAAAAATATTTGTGACACCGTTTCGAACGTAAATATTTACAGATTTTTTAAATATTGGCATAAAATACGTAACGATAATGTATAACTTAAAATATGGTATTTCTGGACTTACCTGTGAAAGATGACATTTGATGTTGGGTTCCATACACTTGTACAATCTTTGACTACGCAATACATAATAAGGCACTTTAAATTAATTCACAAATCCTCGAAATACTTCAGTCAAACACTTCGAGTAGTCGAAAAGTAATTGACAGAGTAGCCATTTTGGATAATACTACCCCAGCAGTGTTACAAGTTTTGAACTCCACGTTAAAAGTTTAAAAGTGGGTAAACTTAAAAATAATTTTAATAAAAAAACAACTTTAAAATAGCCTGAATTAACTATGAATAACTTTTAAATTGTTTAAATTTTTAAGGCTGATATTTGGATTTCGAAATAAACATAAAATATGTGTGCCTCTCTTTTGGTAATATATTTATGATCAGTTACCAAGGTAAAAAGTCATTTTATTATGGCAACATTTTATTCAAGTGTGAGCGAGATAAAAAACATACGAAAGGTGAATAAACTCGGATTCAATAATTTCTTCTAGGGGCAACATCCAGTGTTCTATATAATATTCTTGCTGCCAATCTAATAAAACAATATTTTGACACATCGAGTGTCATGCTGTACAATACGTCAAGTCAAACGATACCGTCGATTGTTGAGTCCTTCGTTATCGTGGATCGTAAACTAAAATAATTAGGTAAATTCCTATTTCTATACACGTTTTTGCTGTATAATGAAGCAGTAATCTTACGAAATGGACGACACTGAAAGTACTACAACGTCTGCTGATGAGAATACTGGTAATTTGTGCGACAATCCCACTCGGGATACTTTGGCAGAAGGCTTGCTTGGGCTTTTGAAACCTACTGTAGACCAACTTGACGACAGAGTTAGGGCTACGAGGTAAAATTTTGCTAAATTGTATTTGTTTTTCCTAAATACGTGGTATAATCAATTTCCATAGCATTGTCCAGACGATCGTCATTAATTTGTTAATTTAAATTCCGAATAACAACAATAATGAATCTCAAAGTTAATCATTCTCAGACTTCTAATCAAATTCAAACAGAAATATGAAATTATTTCCAGGATATCTCAATTGGAATTAAAGCAGCAGATAGACTCATTGAATGAGGAGCTGCAGAATGTGCGCGAGGCTCTAAACAATCATCCTGACTTAGACCCGTATGTGAAGAAGCTGATATCTTGCAAGCACAAGGTTACTGTGGTGCTCAATGTGCTGCAGGCTTCACAGGTTTGTTTCTTAATGAGAACTTACTTTTACAGAGGCCTCAAAGGGGCTTAATTAATGTATGGTAACTTAAAAGTGAGATATACTGTTTAATATTTATCTTTGATCTAAAGACCTAGATCCAAGTGTGGGAGACACATGTAGTCAGTCTGCTCGTTTGCAGACATATGACATAAAAAACATTAAGTATCTCACAATTTAGTAGTAACTAATATATTCTTATAGATTTGTTATCACTTTCCAGGATAGACTCAATGAAATAAGACGAATGGTGAGCAAGGAGAAGAGTGTACGCACAACTGTACTGCCGGAGCAGCCACCTCAGGAACCAGAACAGAGCACCAGCGCAGTGGTCACAGACAGAGGAAGCATAAATTGACAACATGGAGACTCCCTATCAGAACCACATTAACAAGGCTGACTTTGATCATGTATATGAGCCTGCAGAAGACAGCTTCCTACTCATAGATGCCTTAGAAAAGGACCTAGAATATTTGAAGAAGAAAAACCCCACATTTTGCTTAGAAGTCGGGTCCGGAAGTGGTGTAATTATAACAGCTTTTGGTATGGCCTTTCCACAAACATTCTGTTTGAGCACTGATATTAATTTTAAGGCTTGTGTTATGTCTAAACAAACTGCTGATTACAACAAAGTTAAATTAGATACATGCAACATGGACTTGACTAGTTCCTTTACTGATAATGTATTTGATGTTATCATTTTCAATCCTCCATATGTGGTCACTGAGAGTGAGGAGTGTGGAGGATGTGATATTACGGCTAGTTGGGCTGGTGGCACAAAAGGACGTGAAATTACTGACAGATTGCTCACCATGATACCAAAAAAACTAGCCAATAATGGAGTCTTCTACCTTCTGCTTATTGAAGAAAACATTCCTGATGAAGTTGTTCAAATAATGTCTAGTTATGGATATAAATCTGAAATTGTATTGAAGAGGAAGGTTCAAAATGAACAGCAATTAGTTTTTAAGTTTTTTCGATAATCAAGATATTCTAATTATGTTATAAGTTCTCAAAATATAGGCTCACATGTGAAATTCAGTCCCTATAGGTCATTTCATGTGTCTGTCTGACATCATTTGTTTTGTTAGATGTAAAGAGTTACTTTTACATCTGAATGTGCTGAACAAATTGGTTTTTTTCTACTCTAAATAGACAACCCCATTTTTTAAATAATGTAAACTATGTTTGTATCATAGTTGTTATTAATAGCTAGCCTATTTATAACTTTATTCAAACAACAATTATATCAAACAACAATTTTAAATATTTCAGTAATTTTGTTGTATATAAAATAAGTATAAAAAAATATATTATGTTACAATACAATGTTTTGTGAAAAAATATTTTTAATGAAGATTATTTTTCACCGCATCACCAAATGCTTTAGCTCCTTCATCATTTTCTGCCACTCCAGGGAATGAAGAACATTGATTTACCCATCTTTCAATGCATGGGAATCCAGATATATCCCAACCAACAGCCTAGAATAAGAGAAATCAGGCTTAAAGAAAAAATATCTACAATACAAACCCATAAACATTACTGAATAGAGGTTTAATGTAATTAAGTAAATACTTTTTTTTGTCTACTTCTTTGAGCTAACATCTACTACTTATTATATTTTTATGAGCATTCTCTTCTTACCAAAATACTGCTCACAGATGCATAAATAGATGTATCTGCAATAGTAGGATGATCACCAGCAACCCATTTACTGTCTTTGAGGAACTGATCAAGGAACCCCAAAGTGACATTCAAATCATCCTTCAATGGTTTCTGTATTTCTGTCTCTCCAAGAAACAATATGGGGAACTGAAATGTAAAATAGGCCATAACAATTTTAACATTATAAATAATAATTTTAAAATTCTTATGTATAGCATCTGCTTCTGCTGTAAATCTTTACTACGTACACAAATCGCCCTGATCTTCACATACAAAGAAGAACTATCAAAGTACAATCTCTGGTTGACCAATGCGCGCTTTTTCAAATCTTTTGGATAAAAGTGATCGTCCTTCCCATATTTATCGGCCAAGTAGCCCGCGATGGCTCGACTCTCCCATAAAATGAAACCATCGTCGTCTAACGTGGGGATACAGTGCTGAGGATTTATTTTCAAAAAACTTTCTTTGAACTGTTCTTTTTTGAATAAATTTATAATTTCAACTTCAACCGGGGCTTCTACGGCTCTTGCTGCAAGTAGAGCTCCACGTGAAGGTCCACTGATAGGAAAATGGTAGAGTTTTACAGTCATTATTGAAAAGATAAAAGTTTATCGAAAGAGTTGAAAAGATCGAAAGTTTTTATCAAAGAGTATGTAACCACTACGTTTACATTAAAACGGTTTTTATTAAAAAGAGAAAGTTGCTTGACAAAGTTCAAGTGAAGTGATTGACTTTCTTTCGTTTCGAAACAACAAATACAAATTTTGACAATACTACAACGGAGCACAATAATAATGTGAGTTGTGACACTAACAGCAGATTTCATTTGTTTTATTAATATAGCAAGCAAAAATGTTCCGTCTCTGTGTACAAGATAGTAAAATAAAAATAAAACAATTTAAAAAAAATATTGGGTTGAATCCATAAATAGTATCCACGGACGTAATAGTATCCATCAAAATTTAAACTGTCAGTGTCAAATTGCCAAAGGTTTTCTATTTATATTTGGGCACCACTTGCTCATTTTAAAAGCAAATTAATTATTAAATGATTTCATATAAATAAAATGACTACAAGTATTTGTAGAGTTTGTTTAAATCATGAATACTTAGTGAACATATTGACAAAAACTGAATTCCTTTCAATATCTGCTAAATTAATGTCTATATCAAAAGTACATGTAAGTTACATTAAATGAAATATTAAAACTTGTTTTAAACTTTTCTGAAAATATTTGACGACAATAAATAAATAGGTATAGCTGAAGAAATCAAAGAATTACATGGCATGAAATAAATTCGGTCCTGCTGACTTTGAACAAGTTTCACATTATTAACAGTACCTAACAGTTAAATATTTTTTGTAGAAAACTCTTCTTTTTGTGGCACTTAATATTTCATTTTAGTTTTGTATTTTATATGTATTTTTATTTTAGATAGTACCAGGAGATGGTCTTCCAGAAACAATATGTTCAAATTGTGTTCAGAAACTGGATGACTGCATAGAATTTATAGAACTATGTGAATCTTCCGACAGAAAACTGAAATCCTTACTAGAAAATAAGAATACAGAAACAAAAATACTAATAGAAAACTTAAAAATTAATTCAGAGAATGAGAACTATATTACTGAAAATGATGGTTCATTGTCACCAAAGAGTGAGACGGAGAAATTATTTATTGATGAAAGCATAGACCACAGTTTAATAGACCAAACAACTTTAGATGATGAACTTCTAAGAAATGAGTTAGTTGTTAAAACTAAAATCGAACATGATATTACAAGAATAGAAAGTAAGAAGTCTCGAAAACAACAATGTTTTACTTGCGGGAAAGTAATGTCTTCTAGGCAAGTAATCAACCATTACAAATTTACAATACACCCTTTCAACACTTGTCTTCGTTAAATTATTTAGTAACAATTTCTTTTCTATTAAATTAAGTATGAGAAGCTATTAAGTATAGTTTGTGTCCATTTCATTATATTATTCCTATAACTTCTTGCGCTCCCCTAAAATTGCAGGTAGACTTTGTAAACACTCCTTTTATGTAAAAGAGGTACTGTTTTATTAAGTAGGTATTACACCCTACTTTTTATGTATTTAATGGGGGTGAGTACCTATATTATGTAGTGAGTGTTACTTCATATTTTGTGAGCTGAAATTATTAATTATTAGGCAACACAACAAACGTACTTAATATGGCAACATTAAAAAAAAGAAATGTCAAATTTTGAAACTATCAAAAATCAAACTTCGCAAACTTGTTTGAGTGATTGGTTTTCGTCGCAATCTTCATCGTTTTGAGATCTAATTTAAAATTAGTTCAGCGACTGTTTGATTTTTTTTAATTTTAAAAATGGGACAGCCTTATGACGTTGCGTTTACGGAAACGATGAAAACTTTTCTACGTTGTGGTGATAATGCCCAAAACACTGTCAAACGTTATTGCGCGGAATTTGGAGTGCGAGTTTCTGAAGAAACTTTATCTGCTCTTGTTCAAAATTTCCTTGAATTCGGAATTTTTACGCGTCCAAAATTGGAACCAGGATGGAGCAGGTACCTTTAGCTACGTATTATAGACGGCAATGGCCTCTTTGGTTTACCTAGTGTTACTTCTCTCATATAAAACAATTTGCTGTAGTGCCGGTACAAAAACTTTTTACTCATATATTTACGATTAAAGTTATCAAAGAAAACTTAACACACATGCGACAAAAATGTTTAGAACCTTTGCTGCTTCCCGCAACTAACATTTTTACAGGCGTCTTTTCAGGTTTCGCCTCAAAACTCATATGCTGACCCACACTGGAGAGCGCCCATATAACTGCCCTCATTGTAATAAGAACTTCTCTCTTGCACAGAACTTGAAAGTGCATCTGCGAGTGCATACGGTGAGAAATTAAATTCTCAACCCTTATTTTCATCTTAATACTTTAGTAATTGTATGGTGTTACAATAAAATTGAAGATAATGGTATCCGTTTATACTATCTAAATCTTAATGAATATATCTAATATAACTCTATCTATCTAATGGAGTAACCAAATCATCAAAGAATTCATATTAATTCTTTTCTAATATTTTTTCTAGGGTGAGAAGCCACTGCTGTGTCCTATATGTGGTGATGCATTTGCACAGTCAGCAGGATTAGCTGCACACAAGCGAAAACACTCTGGAATTCTGCCCTATATGTGTAAACTGTGTCCCCGTTCCTTTCGCACCATTGGACACCTTCAGTACCATACAAGGTAAATATTTCTTAACATTACCTTAGATGCTGGTAAAATAAAAAAATTTTTGCTAACTTTATTTTCTTCAATTAGTTTTTAGTTCAATGTCACACATTGAACTCATTAAAATATACAAGTAGATATTCTCTAAAGTTAAATATTAAATATATAATTATTTGGTCAAACAATGCTCTTCAAGTTTAATTACCTACAATTTCAATAAAAACTCTTTGTTACACACAAAATGTAAGAACAAAAAAAAATGTACTATATTAACTAAAATTCGCGGGTTACTAACGTGTAAATGTTGAGAAAAGCTCTTTAGTTAATTTAGTATGTCTCACGATAGTTATTATGAAAACAATGTACTATATGTTTCAGGCGACATACAGGCGAAAAGAACTTCGAGTGTGATACATGTAGTCGCGCGTTTATTACGCGCAGTGACCTAAAGCGACATATACTAACACACACAGGCGCCCGTCCGCATGTGTGTTGTATTTGTGGACTACGTCTCAGGCGAAATTCAGATCTGAAAAGGCACATGCAACTTACACATAACAAGAGTGTATATACCTGTGCTCATTGCCCAGCAGACTTCTTGAAGAAAAGTGAATTAGAAAAACATGTTAAAACTCATGCAAATTAATGATCTTCCACATTCCTTTTTTCTAAGTTTGGCTGTTGAGACTTACTGGATTAACAATTACTTTTAAGTGTTTAATTATTTGATTTGTTGTGATCTGCTAAGTATTGTGTATGGTATGTTTGGGTATGTTTAATTAATAATTAAGGACTGACAAACTAACTGTGGCAAGCTCTGTACACAGGTTTACTTACTGGTACAAATAATTCTTTAGGCCATGATTCTCATTTATCATGGTTTTACTTCTTTCTGTCATACCTGTTCGAAAAGTTATTTCGATATAATTCAAGCCACGCAAGGACTCATAGTTACGAGCGGCATTGTGTCGCGCAGCTAACTCACGAATAAGAACAAGAAGGAAATTATAATAAACTAGTTGTTCTCGCGCGGTTTCACCCGCTGCTCGGTTCCCTTTGATCGTAGCGTGATGTTTAATAGACTTTCTAATATATCACATAGGAATAGGAACCTATCTATCAGTGAAAGAATTTTGGATATCTGACCAGCGGTTCCAAACAATACTTCCTACAGACACACTTGAAAGTTTTTATAATTTTTAGGTAGTTTACGAGAGTAAGAACTTATAATATTAAAAATAATCATACTGTGAAGAATTCCGAAAGAGAATACTCCAGGAAATGTAATTATATTTTGATAGAAATGTTTTGCAATAAACACCTAAAAGTTAGTGAAAGTATTGAAAATACTCAAAACTATAACAGATATGACTAAGGTAAGAAATATAAACTGATTAAGGATTTGTAAACAAGCGAGAATATATTATAAGTATTAAAAATACAAGGTCGGTTTGGTTAAAACTTGTTCTTTTTTTTATTAAGTACTCTTTTTTTGTGAAAGTTCTGTGATACGAAATGTTAACTAATAAATATATTTTGATAAGTATACCTATTTGTTTCATTCTTATTTATCCTATTTTTGAATCAGAAACTGCCTTATTGGTTGATAATTTGCTAACAGTACCTAATATTAAACAGGGTGAATAAATTACAAGAAATATCCCAACATCTATCCATCCCTTTGTGTATCCATTCAGCGAAATTCAATATTTTTGTTGAAATGTGTTTTTTTTATAAACAGGCTATAAATAGTGCTTAGGTACCCGTCGATATCCTAAAATCCTACTAATACTTCAGACGTGAAAGTTTGTTAGAATGAATGGATCAATATTTTTAATTTCATACGAAAAGAGCTGGAGAGATTGTGGTGATATCCGTATACCTATAGGTGATATCCTGGATTAACACAACTTATTTTATGCCATATGTCGGCAAACGAGCTGACGTATTACCTGATGGTAAGCAATGGGCCGTCCATGAACACTTGTAGTACCAAAGAAGTTACTACAAGTGCGTTGCCGGCCTCTTGTGGGTTATTAGGGATTTAAGGATGGGGGTAAAAATTGGGTCTCTGGTAACCTCACTCACACGGTGAAACACAACGTAAGTATTGCTTTACTCTGGTTGTCTGTGAGGCCGTGGTATCACTCCAAACCTAATCAAACGTATATTAGAAATTATTAGGAAACTATAAACTACAGTGCCGGCGTAAGGGCCACTGACACCCCAGGCGAAAATATTGTGGCGTCCACTTGAGGGAAGCAATATAAAGTGTTAGTTTTTGATGATCGTATCGAGTCACTCCTCAACCACAAATCCTCAAAAAATCGCAATAAAAATATGCATATGCAAAGAGCATAGACCACAGTTCTGGGAGTTTGCACCAGGAGAGGCAAGAGACTCAACTTCAGACCTTGGCGCCCCCCAGAATTTATCGCATTGGGCCTA